CTTTGTTCAAAAAGCTATAGATCTGGAATTATAAATTTGGTACCTTTATATTGTCCATTGAGAATAAAATTTAAATAACTGCCAACGAGAGGGAAAATATAATTTATTGGCTGCCCAAATTCTGGACTATAATTAACCATAAGTGACTGGGATCATGGGTTATTATTCCGGTGTGGTCGCCATTCCTGCCCTGTCCTATTTCACTTCGATTGAGTTCAACCCAAACAAGAGCCTGTGTCTTTTTATTACGGACTTCATTGTCTGGGCGCGCGGTCACTTTGGGATTGTTGTTAAGTAAGTGTACTTAACCCACATGACTTGCGGTTTTCGCCTTTCTCAGTCTGGGGTAAGACTCTGTTTCTGCCCGTTGCTGTCATCACTCCAAAAGGCCAAAAAGCTGTCATTGCCTGCGATCTTGTGGCCACAGTGCGTATGCGTGCGCAAAGAGATTTCTTAACCTTGAGTGACTTTGAGCGTTTCTCAACCAGCCTTCCATCCATCCATCTATCCATGTTTATTTATTTTTCCCCCTTTGGCTTTACATTTATTAACCAATTTTTTTTCGCTGATTGTATTTTGGGTTTATTAAATTACGGCTTGCACGTGTGCGTGTTTGCGTACTTGAGTCTACGTTCATTTCCTTAATTAAACACTTGTTTCACGGTCTGTTGGGCAATCTCGCAAAGCGAATATGCCGATCGGAAAGGTATTTAAAAAAATGGCAAAGATTAGCAAAAAATTAAGTTGATGAAGCTCATTTGCAGAAATAGTAATCAAACAGCAAAAAATGATTATGTAAAAAACGATCGACAGCAATTATTTATGGATAGCAACAGCTTATCAAGTTCACTCAAAAGTTGCTTCATCATTACATTTAAAGAGCTGTTTTGCGAAAAAAAATAAAGACGCGATATTGATTTATTGCAAATTATTTTTCAAATTTACTATTCATTGTACAACTCTTTTTTTCATTATTTAATGTAATCTTAAATTAAGTTATGTTTTTTAAAGCCTTGATAAAAAATCGCTAATTGATTTCAATGAAAGTTTGGGGGAAAATGAAAAACGTTTTCTGATCAAGATCTAATTGATCGAACTGTGTCATAAGATTTGATGTATTTAAATAAAAGTATTTATAAGAAATTTAGTTGCGTATTCATATTTTTCTTACGATAATAAGTTGGGATCCACTTCCTTTGCAGATCGTGCTACCAGTTTTTGTTCTGCATGCCTACTTGCGTGTAACTTTCAGTTTAACCCTTTGAGATGTTTTCCTTTAACTCGCCTTGTATCTCGCAGTTGCCATCTATAACAAATAAATTCATGGCTAGACCCATTAAAAACTTATTATGCTTTGTGTGTGCCACTCTTGTTTTATTGTCCATTGTCGAGTTGGGATCTGGACTAAGATTCCCAGTCTTTCAGCCGAAGAAGCCACCCACTAAGTTGTGGGAAAAGTAATTTTCATAATTTTGCACTCCGACACCTTCACCTCCTCCTGTTTGAGAATCAGAAGCCACTTTAATACGAAAGGCCCACGGGGGAAATAAGTCTCGGCTCGTTACAAATTCATACTTACATAAAGCTGGGCGAGAGCCGTGAGTTGGAACCTCATATTAAAATAGCACTAATTATGGCAATTTGTTATTGGCCAAACCGAACTGAGGCCAACGCCTATGCCATTTCTAAGCCATCAACAAAGGCAGCCATTAGCCAGATCAAAAGTTTATTAGCGAAAGGAACAGATCTTTCGGGGCGGGAGGCGTTAACCCGCACGCATAAGTAGGCAAAAATATTAAAATAATAAGAGGTAAAATAAAAGAATAAATACTCCGCGCTAAGTGCGTTGAATACACTCATCGCCGAAGGCCAAACACGCTCTTACACACGCATATTAAAATGTGTAGGTACATTTTTATTTATTTTTATATTATTTTCCCCTTTCCACTTCAGCTTTGGCTTCAGGTACCAGGTGATGATTTGCCATTTGCTGGAAAGGGGACTCGTTTCGGTTCGCTAAGGGTTAAGGAGGGAAGTTGGAAAAGGTTAAGTCGCAGTATGTGTACATGTGCCACAAATTGAAGACTTTTTATGGGTGTACCCTTGCCAATGGGGTTTATTTGTGGGCTCAAGAAGTTGGGTTATAAATTGGCCGATTATAGATCTTTCTAGGCGATGAGAAACTGATAGTTATTGCTACAATACGCTTGAGGTACTTATCTTATCTGCTTAGTAAAACAATTTTTTTTTTTGGGTTTTTACAAAATTGTAATTAACTAATTTATATCTCATTCAAGGTACTCATTCAAGGTACTACGATAATTAATTTGCCGACAGTATTTTATTTATTAATACAGTTAACTACGGTTATATCCTCATTTGACCTTTAAAATTCTACCAGATTTAAAGTTACATACATACATTAAGATATGAATTCATTACAGTCTTTTTCAATTGCTAGAGTATTCCAAGTTCTTTTAGTATTTTTCAAAATTAATTTCACTCCTTCATCATTATTTGCAGCCCGCGAAGCTTTTCATTTGCTGTTTCCCCTCGTTTTCTCATGGGCCAAGCCGAAAAAGGGAGATTCGCCGGCCGCGAATGGGTCTGGGGGGCAGTTGAGGGTTAAGTATTGGCATTTCCGACTGGGAGACCGAGACTCGTCTTCATTGAAATCGAGCTCAGACTCACAATCGGACTGGGGACTCAAACGGGGACTGGATCCCAGTTTCAACTTGCACACGGCAGGGCAATCAAAGCCAGTAAATCTACACCAAAAGCAACAATAGCCGGGGAAACAACAACAACGAGAGCAATATTTGTGCTCATTAAGCGTAACTGACACACGAATTTTTTTTTTTTTGGAGGGTTTCTTCATTTTGCAAGTCGCCAAAAACTACGCCAACGGGACTGAGTTTTTTCTGGTTGAGGCTGTGACTCAAGATCTCGCCCCCCAGTCTCCAATCTTCCCTCTTGTCTTCCAAGGGAAGAGCTGCTGCTTTGGGTGCTGTTGCATTGTTTTCTATACTCTTACTCGGGGTATAAACCTTAGTGACTTAACAGTGTTCATTAAGGAAATTCTGTATAAATTTCGAAATTACTCAGAAATTTCTCAGATCCTGCTTAGAAAAAATATTTTTGAACTACTGCAAGTCTCTGCAATTGACACATTTTGACAAAAGTTATTATGACATCCACATTTGTTTTTGGAATAAAAAGCCCTATTATTGCCCATAAAGGGTATTTCAATTTTTGCCTTTCTGATATTTTTGACTCCCTTTTTCGCTTTGCATTTTCGTTTTGCTTTTGGCCAATTTCAGGCCCCCCAAACGGGCAGAGAGCGATTGCTATTATTTTGAGGTAATTCGATGATTTACAACTGTTGCCGTGTTTTGTAAGTTTTCTTTTCAGAATGCCACAGATCCCACTGGCTGTCCGACCGATCTTTATGTGTGTGTTTCAGACCCCGGGTCTGGGTGCAACAATGAAGGGCCCAACCTCGACCAGTCCCTCGCCACATTCCTTTGTTATTTTCGCAATTTTTTTCCCCAGTCTCTTATTGTTTATTTTTTTCGTTTTCTTCGTTTTGTTACTGCTGTAATTCCTGGACAACCCAAAGATCTGAATGAGTTTGGTGCATAGGGGGAAGTGGTCGCCTTTTGTAAATTCTTTCGCGGGCATCTTACATTTCACACCTGTTGTCATTTCTCTCCCCCTGATTTTATGTTTATGTTCAAAAGAGGGGAATCCTGGGACGTTTGGTTCCCAATTTGACAGCGTAAATAGCTTAAAAAGGGGGAGAACTCGAGATCTATGGCATATGTCAGCTGTAAGTGATACGCAGATGTTCGCTTTGCTGAATTTAAAAAAAATTGATTACTTAACGCTTTGTCTGAGACTCAACACTTGGCCATAAGTTTTAATGTGGAATATAATAATACTAAACGATTATGAACAAAAAACAAAATAAAACTCTTGAAATACAAAAAAATAACATTTTAACTTGATTTTTGTATTTGCGAATTTCTATTTAAATGATTTTCCTTAGACCTTTGACTAAAATCATTCTTATACAAATCATGATATACAAACAATTGTTAGTGTAATTGAAAAATAAAAAAATATATTATGAATATCATAAATACTTTTGCATTATATCTTAAGAGATTTTTTTTGGCACACCTTTGTAGATCGTGTTCTGATGCAACACTAAAATAGTCATTACAAAAAATTGCCCTTCCAAATTACCATAATCATGTCAAGCCCCGAAACTCCGCAACATTTCAATTTGGCAGGCCCCGAGAGTTGCCATCCATCAAAGCATGAACAATTTCACTTTCCAGATACAAATGCGGTGATATGCGATTCAGTGCATCGGGCCTGGCTTTCGGTTTCCAAACCAGAAGCGGAAGCCTCCGTTTAGTCGACGCACATCTGGTGATTAGACGCTCCAGCGCCAACCCATCCAATCCCAGCCAGAAAGCCAAGACCAACGACAAATTCCCTTAGCCACACAGAGAAAAATCTACATGTTATTATTATGAACTACAATTTTATAGATTTAAAATATTAATAAATTCGTGTATATAATAATTTAAATATAAATCATTTTCAAAATATATTTTTATTGAAAAAATGATCGAATTTGAACTCATTAAATATTATAGAAATATAAATCGATGTCTTTTTCTCCGTGTGTTGGCGACATTTTGGCGACGCTTCGTTGCATTTTGTTGAGCACTCCACTCCGTGGCGAGGACGTGTGTGCCCGCCTCGTGTGCCATGTCATGGCTCCAGTGGTGCGATAAATGCTCATTTCACTTTCTATCAGCGTCTCGCGGCAGTCTAATGGAGGTTTAATTATGCTGCGCTGGCGGCGTGCCCTCGGCTGTCGCATAAATTACACCGAGCAATGCCTTGATTTATTGTATGCCTATATGGCATTTTTTCCACTTAAGATTTTCGCTAATGCCTTGCCCATTTTTTGTGTTATCTTGCAGTGACTTGACAATATGACTCCGAGGTCGTAGACTCCGGAAAAAGAAGGAGAGGGGCGGCAGATAAACACCGAAACGACACAAGGCGAACAAGGAACCAACCGAAAATGTCCGGCAATCAACAACAGCAGCAGCAGCAACTACAACAACCGCAGAAGTCATTAACTAACAACGCGACAGCAACAACCACAAACGGAGCAACCACTTTGGGCCATAATTTGATAAAAATAAATAGCGTTGACAAAATAATAGGCAAAACCCAGGCTGCGACGCAGGCAATTAACAAATTACAACAGCAGCAACAGCAACAACAACAACAGATCCACCAACGACGCTCTTTATTACCAGCAACAGGAGTAGCAGCCGCAGCAGCAGCAACAACAACAAATCTCCACCAGCAACACTCATCGCAGCAACAAAGCGGAACGCCAACGCCAGCGGCTCTGTCGCCAGCCCAAAAGCAGCAGCAGCAACCACATCAATTGCAGACGGTGGCCACGATACACCAGCCGCACTCCACGCAGCAGCAGGCATTGACTTCCCGCCTGCCCATCCAGCAGCAATCCGCTAAAGAATTGCCCAATCTAGCTGCCCAGCAGCCGGCGCAGCAACGTCGCAGCTTCCACTACCAGTTGCAACATCATCATCAGCAGCAGCAGCAACATCAGCAGCAATCTCTGCGCAGCCCGCAGCTAAAGGCACCAGCTCCCGCCCACTCCATCCCGCCGAGATACCAGCCACCCCCCCAGCCAGCCACCGGTATCTTGAAGCCCCACCTGCCCCTCAAGTATCCGCCGGATATCCCCCAGTTATCCAGCATCTACATACCCGAATCCATCAAGCAACAGCAGCAGTCACGCTATTTGCCACACCAGCCGGCAGCGAAGGATATGCTGAAGTTTGTGCGCAAGCCGGACCAGGAGCACCCATCGCCCAATGCCTCGGTCACGTCCAGCGGCACGGGAATACCCTCGACCAATGGCGGCGGACGCCTGACCGCCGAGCAGAACCGCCAGCTGCAATCGCTGGTTAATGAGTTGCGGGCCCTGAAGGAGCAGAATCAGCGACTGCTGGACGACAACCAGGAGTTGCGGGATCTGTGCTGCTTCCTGGACGACGACCGGCAAAAGGGACGCAAATTGGCCAGGGAGTGGCAGCGATTTGGGCGATACACGGCCAGCGTGATGCGCCAGGAAGTGGCCGCCTACCAGGTGCGTTAACCTCTAACCAATCGTCTAGCCACAAATAACTAATGATTTTACCGTCCCACAGAACAAACTACGTCAACTGGATGATAAGCAACAGGAGCTCATCACCGACAATCTGGAGCTGAAGGAGCTCTGCCTGTACTTGGACGAGGAGCGTGCCCATGTGGCGGCCAATGCGCTGTGCGCCGGATGCGGGGCGGCCACCAGGAATGCCCTGCGAGATGATGGGGATGGCTCCAGTTCGAGCACGAACGCGGATGAGACCATCACCGCGTTGAGGAACTATGCAGAGCAGCGGCAGCTACCCCAGGTGAGCAAATGGAGATACTTTTTAAAGGAATCTTTGCTAATAAGGAATTATGTTTATTCTCTGGCCAGGATCTACGTCATGCCCACACGCTGAACGACCAGACGCTTCAGTATGTGCGCTCGCTGGAGCGGCGCATCCAGCAGCTGGAGGAGGAGCGCTCCACGCCCACGGCCCACCTACAGCAGCAGACGACGCCCACGCCGCAGGCTACGCCCACGCCACAGGTCACATCCGCAACAACACCAGCCAAATCAGCGCCATCGCCCCACCAGCAACATCAACAGCAGCAGCAGCAGCAGCAGCAGACCCAGCAGCAACAGCAGGACATTGTGGCCGCTGCAGCGGCGGCAGCGGCGGCTATCCAACTGCCGGAACCGATTGCCGGACGCCCGGAGGCGGTGGTCCGTGCCCTCCAGGTGCTAGAGGTGCGGGAGCAACTGGAGCGCGATCGCCTGGGCAATCTGGCTGGGAGCGCTCTCGATCAAATGGACGACGGCGAAAAGGCGCTGGTGCGCGAGATGTGTAACGTGGTCTGGCGCAAGCTGGAGGGCAGTCCACATGGACCACCTGCCCTGGAGCCGCTCTAAGCCGGCAGAGAGACCCAGACCCAGACCCACAGGCGGATACAACCTAAACCGGGCTAACACTTAGACTCTAATGTTTAATGCTAACTTATGCCGTAATATTTAACCCTAAACATTGTACAAAGTTCAAACCACAACCTAAGCTTAAGCTACCGCAAAAAGCGAAAGAATACTCAAAAATATTTGGGATACTCCAGCAACTGATTTAAGATAAAGAACAATAAATTGCAATCAATGTTAAATATTTAACCATAGCTCATCATGTAACATAACATTTGCACATCTATTTAAATGCAACTTTTATTTTACACCTTTGGTATTTTACCAATTAAGCAGACATATTTATATTGTACGATTCAGCTTCAAAATCGAGCTTTAACTGGTCTTAAAGCTTGACGGTTTGGATGCGAATCAAGATGACCTGCTCAGCCCGATGACTCCACAAAATCAAATAATCAACACAATTGTTGTTTATCTTCGATTTGGACCAACTTTCTTGGGATCACTCTTTTTAATTAGTTTGTAACTCTGCTGATCAGTTGCTGGGGTATACTTACAATAATTTTTTTACTTATTATAAACTTTGACTGTTATTTTTGAATGCCAAGAGAAAAACTACTTTCACGAAAAATTTGCTAACTCGAAATACAATGCAACAAATATTTCCATACTTATCAATGGGTTTTTGATTTTCAAAGTGCTTTATTGGAGAATGGTTAAGAGACAAATATAGAACGCTGATTCATTGTTACAACCGTTTCAGAAATATCTTGATTCTGTAATAAATCTAAGCGCATTACACGCTTTCTACGCTTTGCTGGACCTTACATGAACGCATTCTCGCTTACATATGTACATGGTTTTCAAGACAAACGTAAATTACCGCAGAGCTGTTTAACCTGATTTTTCTTGGCCAATTTGCCCATATCGCACTCATTCAGAAAGATCGCCGCACGCGGGACAGGATGATGCGGCAAGAAACGGCACGAAATGCAAGCCAAAGCCAACCCACTTTTGGCCGTTCTGGTTTTCCCGCTTTTGCCGCTCTTCGGCTAATTCATGCATTATCCGTGGTTTCGGTCGCGCCTCAGAGCTTCAAGGCGCGAACATGTGAGTTTTAACTTTGCTGTCATTAAATATGCAACCTTTCTTTGTTTTGCTTTCATTGTTTCCCCTTTTCCGTTGGTGCGGATTGCCTTAAACGGATAAGAATCAGTTAAAAGGCGTGTGAAAAAGTTAAGGCAGGAACTGAGGAGCGACTCAGGGACGAAGTTGTGGATTCAAATTAAAATAATAATTTTCCTTACTCTGATTAAGAGGCAACCTATGGCAATATGCTCACATAAATGTCTCGTAACTTGACTTCTCTTACATCAACATCTTAATTTCCTTTTCTGAGAAGTGACCCAGACAATTTTGGATACAACTTAAATCGGTATTCTCTAAAATTGTGTGATTGTAAATCTCTTTTGACCTGTATTAGAATTTTCTTTTATAATTGTGGGTCGAATGTTGGTCTTCAGTGTACACTTTGCCTACTTACTTAAACACCTATTAGTTGTGCAGAATATTTGGTGGAAGTTTTTTACTCGTTCCCCTCTAATCAATCGGCAGGTGGGAAGTCCGCTCTCAATAGTTGACATACTTTGTAGACCCACAATCGAAATGGAACATTAGACCGCCGAAAATAACAAATTCGCCGAGATTATAGGAGAGAAACCACAGAGAAAAGCAGTTCCAGACAACCGCAGAGTCACCAGCCACCAGTCACCAGATCGAGCAGCATCCGCGCATCTCGAAAGATGGAGTCGGGCGCACTTATCATTCAACTTCGCAGCGAATCGCACGCGCTAAAAAAATAATCGGAGTGTGCTAAAAGTAGAAGGAGTCGCAGCTGAACACATGGCATGGCGGTGAACATGGACATGGAAGCCATAAAAATGCTGTCGTCGAGCCAAGAAGATGGCAACCTGTCCTACTCCAACTCGAAGTTCAATTGCAAAGAAACAGCAAGATTACGAGGCGGTAAAAAAAGACGATGCAGTCAGAAGAGCAGTGCCAGAAAAAAGAAAGTTATTGTAGCCGGTTGTGGCCACCTGCTGCCGTCCCTCGCCGCTGCACTTTGCATACTGATCTTCCAGTTGGGGCTGACTCCTCCAGTGAGGTCCATGTCACCGGCCAACGAGACGGTCTGGCCACCGATGCGGCATTACGATATTTGGGACGACCACTTGGGCGATCTTGGCGATTTTGAAGGGGAGCCTTTGGCGGAGGAGGCGGATTTCAAGCTGCAAACAGGAGTGCAGGAGGAACTGGACATCGAGATGCAGCAGCAGGACATATCAGAAGGGAGTTTAAATCAGACAAACACCAGGCAGGGAAAGGGTGAGTTCTAGGTAGAACTACGAATTTTAGGATATCATTATTTAAATTTTTAAAAGTCGAACTATATTAGATAAAGGAAACCCCTTATTAACTGAATGAGCTTCTAAATTATATTTATTTTACTTAATATTAAATGATTTTAATATTTGTAGGCGTAAATTCTATTAATCCGTAGAAATATGTTTTAAGTCCTCGATCATCATTTTCTCTTCCCATTCCAGTGATCCATCTATTTCCGGTGCCCGTGGATGGTGATTGTGTGTCCAACGATGGTCGGCGGATGGGCAACTGCCTGAACGCCTACGAATGCCGCCAAAAGGACGGACAGGCGAGGGGAGAGTGCGCAATGGGATTCGGAGTGTGCTGCGTGTTCCTGGCCAGCTGCAACACCACGATCTCCAACAACATCACCTACATCGTGTCGCCGGAATTTCCCAGCTTCATGCCCAGCAACTTCAGTGGCTGCAGCCTGCGGGTGAAGATGATGAGCGATGAGATCAGCCAGGTGCGGATCGACTTCCACCACTTCACCTTGGGTCAGCCGAATCGAAGGACTGGCGTGTGTGAAGGAGATGTGTTCAGCATAGGCGGTGGGCCGGGGGGAAATTTCTCTCTTTGCGGCCAGAACAGTGGCCAGCATTGTGAGTATACCACAGATCTAAAAATAATTACCTATATAACTCTATATCTTTCAGTGTACTATGATGTGGGGTCCCGATCTTCGCCCCGACAAGCTACATTGTACGGCAGTCTTCGCCCGGCAGATGCCAGTAATAACAGCACCAACAACTCCACATCCACAGGAGATCGCTTCATCGACATCAGTCTCAATCTTTCCAATCGTCTCCTGCCCCTTCGCATTTGGGAGATGAGCGTGGTCCAAATCCCCTTCAATCAACGAGCTCCGGCAGGCTGTCTGCAATATCACACAGGCACAGAGGGCATTATGCAAACCTTTAATTTTGCCGAAAATGGGAGACATTTAGCCAATCAGAACTATCGTATTTGTGTGCGTCAGGAGACGGACATGTGCTCGATTGTATACCAGCCGTGCGATGAGCTGTCCTTCCGAATTGGCGGTGGCGGACGAATGGCTACCCGAGGTGGTGGGGGTGATGAAGGATCTCTGTCAACGTCGAATAACGCCGCGGTCCAATCAAATCCCGCTGTAGCTCAATCCGATGTTGCAGGTGCAACAGCAACATCGGTTAATGCAGCAATGACCACGGCAGCTCCAACTTCCAGCACCCTGATGCAGATGCTGGCCAACATTGCCAACTCCACCACCACATCGTTAATGACCCTAATGTCCGGGAACTCTACCACAGCTGCTAGCGCAGTATCTTCATCCAGCAGCGGCAGCAGCACGGCCGCAATGAGCACGACGACAACATCGACCACTCCAACGCCGTTACGTTCTAGTACTGAGGCTTCCACCACATCGGAAGCACCATCATCCTCGCCAGCTAGTGACGATGTGGAGGGTTCAGGTGGCGAGGACGGGGAAGCTGGCGATGATGACGACGATGGCGGGTTCTTGTTCTTCAGGAGTCGACCGACCACAGAGGAACCGGGCGTTTCTCGACGCCCACGTCCAAGTGGAGGCTTCGACATTATGGGCATCATTCGCAACGCCCTGGACTTGCCGCTGAAGTGGCGTCGTCGCCAGGCTCGACAATTCTTTAGCACTTGTTCGGATCGGATTACAATGCCGTGCATCATAGAGGATTTCATAGGCACCGGGTTGGGCCCACTTCCCGGATGCGAGCCCGTTCACTGTGGCGCCCAGTTCTGCTCCTCGGGTGTGTGGCCTTGTCGCATCGAAAGCACTGTGACTCCATTTTACATAGGTGTCCATTTCGGCAACGGACTGGGTGCTGGCAAAAGCAATGCCGAGGATAATGTGGGAGCTTGTCTGCGTTTTTCCCAGGTGCAATGCATGTAAGAATTGGTGGGACCTTAAACTTTCATTTCGTTTTAGAAATTTGGATTATAAAAAATCAATTTTCCGATTTGCATCCAATTGATGTTTTCATATAGCTGCTTTTATCTTATTTTGAAATAAGCTTTTACATATTCTTTTTCTATTTTAATTTAATTTAGTAAACTTACAGACTATGTTAGTGATGCCCCGTTTACCTTACTTTTTTGAGGGGCCGCCTTGTATACAAAATTTTGTACATGACGGACACGATTCTCCAACTTATTCGAGCTTAGTTAAGTGTACATTTGAGTTTCAATTATTAAATAAAGCACAGTGGGGGAAATCAGAGTATTCTTAGCTTTTTTATAGAGCCTTTTTAATTTTGTTCAGGTAATGAAAATATATTGTGCAATCGGACAAAATGCAACCAAAAGCAATAAAAAAGTGTATATTTCCGTGTTCTTTGTTTGACTTAAGTTGCCGGTAATGTGTGCGTTTGAGAATGCGATGCCACATAACAATGGTGCCCTCTTTTAGGGCGACGACTCTTTGGATTGAGCTTAATAACACACTAAATTATAATACTAAAAATACTCGCCCGCCGCCTTATAGGCGCGTGGACAGTTTTGTTCGGCATACTTGGCGTAGGCGCTTGTGGAACCTTGTTTGATGGGCAGCGTACTAGAGTGTTTGTTCCATACGTGCACAACATACGAGTCCTTGCAGCGGGCTATCGTCTCCTCAAGCTTTTCCGGCTCGAAGAAATCGCGCCACTTTTTCCAGGGGACGGCGTAGAAAGCGCCCCTCCCGAATACCTTGAATCCGAGACAGCGCTTTGGATCCTCCTGCATCACGCCGATGTCCTTGGTGCCGCATATTTTCTGGGCCACACGAGTTATAACCCCAGGACCGTTGTTGCCCCAGTCTCGGCCATTGAAGTTGTACTGAAAGTCGCGCAGACACGATTCGGCGATTTCGTGGCCAAAGCCAGTGGCTGCCAAGCTCATGACCCCAGCGGCCAAATGCGTGTTGGACTCGGCGCCTGTGTAATTGGGGGGCACCTCCTCCATGCTCCGCAGCACTACCACATCCATGTCCAAATAAAGACCTCCGTAGCGGTAGAGGGTAAGATAGCGCAGAAAATCCGAAATGTGCGAAAACAAATATCTGGAAGGCGAAGTCAGTAATGAGTAATATCAAAGGAGAGTGACTAAGATAACCTCGAGCGAAACAAGCGTCCGTCTTTGAGCCACTCATCGATGGGTGTGCCGGCAGCATAGCTCCAGAGATTAAGGCGCCGAAGATGCACATTGCTGTAGCTGAGAATGGCGTCGACCAAAGGCTGCTGATGGCTGTTGTTGCGACCAACGGTAGAGATTCGATATGTGGGACCGGCGAACAGGACGAACACTTGGAAATTCGGATTATGCAATGCTGCGGACTCGATTGCGCAGGCCTGGCGGGCGGTGAGCTTCAGTTTCTCATACTGCCTGTTTTTGGTCTGGTGGCAACTGGTCTCGTGGAAGAAGATACTTCTTCCGGGCGTGGGCTTTGGCGCCGCCAGCAGCACATCCTCCAGGGGACTGGTTTCCGCATCAGGAACCGGCGTCTGTGTCGCCATCCCTTGGCCTTCCATGAAACACAGGTAGTTATCATTTTGCCAGGTGTAGCTATAAGCAATGCTGCCGACGATCACCAGGATCAGGACGCCAAACAGAAGGCGCAGTCTTCCGTTGTGAAGAAAGCGTGCCGCCAAAATGGGCAGCCGCAGGAGCATAACTGGAGAACTGAAACTGGGAGCAGATAAGAGATTGCTTTATTGCAGTTGACTGTAACTCACTCTGTGATCGCTGCTAACCCTACATCGCCGGTGTCATGCTTAATGATAAGCAAATTCAAGGTAATACAAAAAAGGGACCACAACAAAGCAATGTGAGTTATCGATAACTTATCGGTGAGGGTAGTTTCCCTCTGGTATACTTATGGTATATTACCAGTATTCATTTTTGTGGGTTATTCAAGAATTTGGTGTACGGTCACACTGACGTCGAAAGCGGCTTTTGCTTTGACAATTTTTTCACCGATTTTTCAATTACCGTACGCAACGTGAACTGGCCGGCGCAGAAAGACCGGTAGACGACCCATTACCCATATAGCAAAATAGTGAAATGAATGTTCCTCCTAGCGTGGGCAATGGAGGAGCGCCACCAGGAAGGGGCATGGGCTACACGCCGTCAAATGCCATTGTGCCGCAGTTTCCGCCGCCCGGATTCGCGGCCCCGCCTCCTCCAGAGCTGGCCGCCGCCTTTGGAGTGATGGCCTCCAATTCCGAGTGGACGGAACACAAGGCGCCGGACGGACGACCATACTACTACAATCAGACCACCAAACAGAGCTCGTGGGAGAAGCCGGAGGCCCTGATGACGCCCGCCGAACAGCTGCACAACCAGTGCCCCTGGAAGGAGTACCGCTCCGACACAGGCAAGGTGTACTACCACAACGTGGCGACCAAAGAGACCTGCTGGGAGCCGCCGCCGGAATACGTGGACATGAAGGCCAAGGCGAAGGCTGAGGAGTGAGTAATTTGCACTGCGTTTTTTATTTATTACTTGCTAATATCATGTTTCTTTCCAGAGCTGCAGCCGCCGCAAAGGCAGTGGCGGCCATGACCTCATCCAGCTTGGCAGGCATGGTGCCACATGCTGCACTGGCCAATATTCTGCCCGCCGCCCTGCCTGCTGCTCCCAGGATACCTACGCCAGAGATCCACTCGCCCCTGACGCCCAGCAGTAACGAAAACTCGTCATCCGCTATGGACCAGGCCATGGCAGCTACTTTGGCGTCCATTGAGGTGCCCCAACAGAATAGTAAATAAGACACCCTTACTTCTACTTTCTTGAATTAACAACATTCTCTTCCAGCTAAAAAGGATGACAAGTCTGACAGCGCTGTAGTCTTTAAGGACAAACGAGAGGCCATAGAGTCGTTTAAGGAGCTACTTCGAGACCGCAACGTGCCCTCAAATGCCAACTGGGATCAATGTGTTAAGATCATCTCAAAGGATCCGCGCTATGCCGCCTTTAAGAACCTTAACGAACGCAAGCAGACCTTCAATGCCTACAAGACGCAGAAGATCAAAGACGAACGCGAGGAGTCGCGGCTGAAGGCCAAGAAGGCGAAGGAGGACCTAGAGCAGTTTCTCATGTCCAACGACAAGATGAACTCGCAGATGAAGTACTTTCGTTGCGAAGAGGTATTTGCCGGAACACGAACATGGACGGTGGTGCCGGAACCGGATCGGCGTGATATATACGAGGATTGTATATTTAATTTAGCTAAACGGGAAAAGGAAGAGGCGCGGTTGCTGAAGAAGAGGAACATGAAGGTTCTGGGTGAGCTACTGGAGTCGATGACATCCATTAACCATGCTACCACATGGTCAGAGGCTCAGGTCATGCTGCTGGACAACGCGGCATTTAAGAACGATGTTACCCTGCTGGGAATGGACAAGGAGGATGCCCTTATTGTTTTTGAGGAGCACATTCGTACCCTGGAAAAGGAAGAAGATGAGGAGCGCGAGCGGGAAAAGAAGCGGATGAAGCGACAACAGCGAAAGAACAGGGACTCCTTTCTCGCACTCCTCGATTCCCTACACGAAGAGGGAAAGCTCACCTCCATGTCGCTGTGGGTAGAGCTTTATCCGATAATATCCGCCGATTTGCGATTCTCGGCCATGCTCGGCCAAAACGGTTCAACACCTCTAGATCTCTTTAAGTTCTATGTGGAGAACCTAAAGGCTCGTTTCCATGACGAGAAGAAAATCATTCGTGAGATACTAAAGGAAAAAGTATTTGTGGTCCAGGCTAAGACGTCCTTTGAAGACTTTGCCACGGTTGTGTGTGAGGATAAGCGTTCGGCCAGCCTGGATGCGGGCAATGTAAAGCTAACCTACAACTCTTTGCTGGAGAAGGTAATATGGAAGTTATTTTTCCGATGCATAATTTCCATTATAATTATTTGCAGGCGGAGGCCATTGAAAAAGAGCGAATGAAGGAAGAGGTGCGACGATTAAGAAAGCTGGAGAATGAGATCAAGAACGAGTGGCTGGAGGTCAACGTTTCAGTGGCCGAGCCATACGAGAGTGCCAAAAAACTGGTGGAGCACCTAGAAGCATTTGCATTGTACGAAAAGGAAATCGGCGTTGAAAAAATCTGGGAAGATTTTATAAAAGAGAGCGAAGATGCTTGCGGCCATCACCACTCGCGGTCACGCAAATCGAAGAAAAACAAGAAGCATAAAAAGCGAGTGAGGTCCACTTCCAGATCGGACATCGAGAATGAACAGGTTGAAGTGGAGAAATCGAAGCGAAGGCGCTCCAAGTCACGATCGGTTAGTATGCATATACGTTTAACATTAAGTGCTAGAAGTAATTTTACTTCCGAACAGCATTCCCTGAGCTCGATCGGGAGCATCGAAAGCGAAAAGTTGCTGAAGAAGAAAAAGAAGCGCAAGAACAAATTGCGAGGTGTACGTAGCAAGTCCCCCCCAATCCCCGAATCTCAAGAGATCTAACAAGGCTTACATTTCAGTCCTCCTGCGAATCGGAAATACCAGGAAACCAGTCGCCCGGCGCCCAGGCTCTCCTGCAGAATGACTCCAACTCGCATTCACCGGCCAAGAAAAAGAAAAAGGAGAAGAGAACAAAGAAGGACAAGGAAGGCAAGCGACACAACAGACACAACCGCTCCGGCACGCCCCTCAGTCCCGCCCAGTCTATAGAGTCAGCAGGATCACGAAACGAGGAGCTGACGTTAAGTGACGGCGAGCTGGAATCGAAGCGAGCAGCCCTGCTGGCGCAACTAAGCGAACAGTTGGACGAGTGACCAGTGGGTGGGCGCTGAGTCTAAGCCGACATAGACAGCGTGCGGCGTAATCTAGCTCCAGCTAAATGCGGTTTACGAGAAGCAGCTGGCCTTGGACTTAGTAGCTGGACAGGTTCACACAAGTCCTTGTCTTCTACTGCACTCCGCATTATTTAGTTAAGATGTAGTCCTGGCCACCAGCACAAGCCACACAGCAAACCCTTAATGTAATTTCTTAGTCGCAATAAGTTTCAATGTAAAAATGAATTAAAGCTAACAAGTCAAGTTTTAAGTTGGACGCAAAAGATTTTGAGTCTCTTCATCAAAATAAATGAAAAATAACATAATTACAGACAATCAATTTGATTGCTCCATTTTCATATTTTGAAGGAGCTTATTTGCAGTATGATATGGATTTCTGTTTACTACATTCTAGATTGCCCTCCAATTTTTAAAAGTCGATAGGAAACACATTATTACTTTTTACTATGTTTAATGACATTCTCGACAAACGCACAAATGGAAAAGTAGTTTTTCTTGTTGTGGTACTAAAACTTAAACTCCTTGTACTTCTTTGTGGTCTTGGCCGGATCCGTTTGCTGTCGCTTGCGCTTTGATTTTTGCCGCGCCACATGCTCGGCCAGCATGTCTGACAGATCCTCTTTCTGCAGGTGATTTTGCTGCTCGCGCATCTGCTGCTCATAACGCTGTGCCATCGCGTCGTTGTCCATGTCCAGTTCGCTGGGATCGAGCGCTAATTCCACGATGCCCTCGCGATCTGTGGTGGATCGTACTGCTGGCTGTTTGTTAGCCCCACTGCCACTGACATCGTATACGTGTGTTGATCCCATCATGGAGGCGCCTATGCGGTCAGTGCGCTTTTCGGGCAGCACTTGGTAAAGAACAGGGGTTTCATTGCTGGGGAAAAATAAATATTGTGATTAACTGGGTTCACAACAAAAAGATCTAGTTTAACTTACTCTTCCATCTCGGCTTCGATTTTCTTTTTGCGGAGCTCAATGTTTTCGGGGGTTTCCATGCCCGCTGGCACACTAGTGAGTCCAGAAGGTGTAACCAGTCCCTCCACTGGCGTTACTAGGCCAGTCTCATCCTGTTGATCGCCCAAGTCTTCACCATCTTCCTCCTCCTCTTCGGAAGACTCTTCTGACTCCGATTCCAGTTCACCCCATTGATTGCGTTCAATGTCAGCCTCGTCAATGCCATTCTAATACATACACCATGTTTAATAAATTTATGTGGCAATGAAATTGTGCTACTCACATCCAAGTCCAATATGTTGGTTCCAAATACGTCACCGTACAGCGGTTTTCCATTCTCATCCACTGGCGGCTTGCCCCAACCTCCTGCATGATAGCCAAACGAAGTTCCGTCTGGGATCGGCGCGTTAAGGCCCGGAATTTTCAGATTTGGATACGAGGGCGGCGGCCCGTAGCGCTGCTGGGCAATCAGCCACGGCGGCGGAATCTTGTGCGAGTTGGGACCAACGGGCATACCTAAAGCAATGCGCAATTCCTCGGAAAGATCGCCTGGCTTCTTCTCTTTAAGGCGCGTCTCAAACTCCTTGCCCTCATAGTACAGATCGCCATGAATTGTCATGCGGGGCTTTGTCTGCCACTTAAAGAAAGCATCGTGCAGTTTTTGGTAGTCAATGTCGATCTTCCCCATTTTGGGACGCACTCGTTCCCGCATCTTAGCCTTGAGGGTTTTGGCGTCCTCACGCTCTTGCAGTGACTCCCGCATTTCCATGATGCCCGTCTTTTTAATAAAGGCGGGAAGATCGAATGGAGGCTTCTCAATGCCCCTTTTGCCCTGCAAATATTTTCGCTTGAAGCACCAGTGCCGTGGCACTTGCACTGTATTCCTATAGGCCTTCAGTTGGACCAGTAATTTCGGATCTCTGGCAGTAACATCGTGCATCTCAACTACATCGGGTCGGGAGACCAGCTGCTTCAACTCCGCCACACTCAGACGGGTTAGTTTCTTTAGCTTCCGCTTGGAAAGCTTCTCTTTGTCCTCCTTGTGCTCGTCGTCATCATCGCCATCGTCGTCTTCGTCCTCGAGGAGTTTGTCGGCGGCCTTTTTGTCCTTGGACAGGGATTCGGGATCAAGCGAAGATTTGTCCTTTTCCGCAGGCTTTGGTTTGTTCTCCAGCTTAAAAATTTCGAAGACTCGATAGAACTGGCGGTACATAGGCGCCAGGTCTGCAATCGTTATCTTTTCGGGCACATATCTTTGGAAGGAGAGCAAAATGTTAGGGTTTTTATGCATAACCTTAGTGCAATGACTTACTCTATTGTCACATCCTCTTCGTGAGAATCTCCCGTCTTCTTATCCTTTTCTTTTTCATCACTGCGGTCCTTCCTTCGCTTGCTACGACTTTCTTTGTGTTTGTCTTTCTTTTCCTTTTCGACGGCCTGTTCGTCTCCGCTGCCCGGAGCCTTTGTCTCCTGTTCCTTCGCATCCTGATCCACGACCTCGTGCTCATCTGCTTGGGCCAACTGCTGCTGTCGCTCGAATTCCAGCTGGTGGCGAATCTTCTTGTTCAGCTTCTTACGCTTCTTTTTTTTTTTGTTCCGCTCCGCCTTACTCTGCTTGCCGGCCTTTTCGCCATCGCCACCGTTCACCTGGTTATCCGCATCCTCCTCGCTGTCCTCGCCCACATCTGCCTCATCGCCGTCCTGCGTTACGCCCCCACTGCCCCCTTGAGAATCGGCGTCCACGGTAAATTCGGCCGCACGCTGATCCTTTAGCGCCAGCACATCCTCCAGTGCCTTGGGCAGCACAAGCTCGGCGGTGGATTTCTCGGTCTCCACCCCATCCTCGGAAGCTTCGCCGGCAGCATTCCCGCTTCCATTGCCGTTCTCATTCCCGTTGGCCGCCGCACTTTCGTGCTGCTGCTGATCGAAACGAATAGACATAAGCGGCGTGGGCTGGCCGGCCTGAAACGTGAAACATTTAATAGTGGAATAGCCGGTTGCGCAATAAACTCACCTCATTATTTACCTGGTCCGCCATATATTAATTAAATAATTTTATAAAAACCAAACCACCAGCGAAAAAACAAATTTTAGCGATGGGAGAAAAGAGATAAGTGCACCGTAGCGATTGCTCGATAAAGTTGTACAATAAGTTGACAGCTCCTTTCCATAGGGTGACCAATGAACTGTACCAAAAGCGTGGTTTCTGCCGACAGCTGATTTTTGATCAATTATCATTTATAGAGGTAAATAATTGTACAAATATATTATTTCGTTTAATACTTACAGTATTAATTGATGTTTTGTTTATTTACTATGTAGCAAAGCATAACTAAAGCTCATTTCAACTACAGGAATCTTAGAGCTCACAGGGTGCTCCGAGGACACAAAGATGTTTAAATTTAATTTTGAAGTGGAAGCGGAATCTCGTGAAGATCCAGAGGCCGTTAAAAGTCCTATTTTCAGTAATGAGGGCGATTCCGAAGAACCTAAACCGGGATACACAAAGGATATAGATTGGTATCAGGCAGAGAAAGTAAAGCCAATAGATAACCTTATTTCAACACTGGATTTCTACGAGTTGAATGCTAAGGAAATGGATGTGGGAAATATAACAATTCGACACCTTGTAGCTGGTTTTCTGCTGGAGGATATAAAAGCCCAAGCACAGTTGGAAAACCTTGATATAAGAAAGTCTGAGGAAAACCATTCTGATCTAATAGCCGGGGTCTACGAGGGAGGTGCTAAAATATGGGAGTGCACAGAAAGCCTTTTATTATATCTATCCGAAGAGCATGAAGACTCCTTCTGGAAGGATAAAAGAATCCTGGACTTGGGATGTGGTTCCGGATTACTAGGGATATATGCCATGAAAAAGGGTGCGCGAGTCGATTTTCAGGACTACGTAAGTGTAAAACTAATCCTAAGGTTTGATATATTAATAAATCCAATATTTCAAGAACAAAGATGTTTTGGAATATATCACATATCCAAATATCCTGCTAAATGCAGACGAATCGCTAACTGAAGATGAAAAATTGGAATTTTTGGACAACCATACAACCCTATACGCCGGGGATTGGTCTCACTTCGCTCACCTAACGAAGGAAGTGGAGAAATACGATCTAATACTTACCTCAGAGACAATTTACAACATTGAAAATCAACAAAAGCTTTTGGAAACCCTTGCTGATCGCTTAAAACCGGATGGAATCGCTTTGGTCGCTGCAAAATCTCATTATTTTGGAGTGGGAGGGGGTCTGGAACAATTTTCGGAAAAGATCAAGCTTGGAAATTTGTTTCACATTCAAAATGTCTGGCAGTCGGACGAAAATTTAAAAAGAGGAATTTTACAATTAAAATTTAAATAGTTTAATTTTGAGTTTATTGGGGCTTTTAATATTAAAAACTATCCATATCAGACGAGACTTTATCCGCGAGTATTTGCGCTGGAGATAACAAGGCTTAAGCAAAAATTTAATGATGATAAATATATTTGCAATATAGTGTGCGTATAAATTTAGTACCCAAAAGTTTTAAGAAATGCTTATCTTCTTATCATCTTAAATGCGAGAACAGCACAGAAGGTCAATAATATTCGAACTGATCGGTTCATACTTATTTTGGATGATTAAACTTTTTTAGTGCTGTTATTGTTAAAAATAAAAAATGAACGAAGCTGAAATAAGAAGGCTTTTATTGTGTTTGGTAATCGTTCTTCTTACGGAAACTTGGATTTGGGTAGAGGGTGAAGTCACCTCGTAAGATTCCCAATGGAAAACTATACAAAAATTAAATTTTTAGTTTACAATTTTAACTATCTAGTATTTTAAAAATGTGTTCGAAAATCATAAGCAAAGATGGCAATCTCTTTTTCTCTTCTGTAGTTAATCACAATATTAATATTCGACTTAGCGGAAACTCCCGACTAACTATCAGCGAGGAGTTCCATGTGATAATGCTTGTAACGGACATCGGTGGCTCTAGAAAGCGGTCCAATAATGAGTGGAACGCGATGGAGAGTGTCGGAGTCGTCCGAAAGCGGCAGATCAGATGGCGTTCCTTTTGTCCCAATGATTTGTACGGATCCTACAAAAGTAAAAAAACAGGTGAGTTTAAAGTGGGTTATAAACTATCCAACATAGAGATTTCAAGTATTTGGATTGACACATATTAAATAATTTAGAAAGTTTGGTTTGGATATGGGATATATAATAGGCCTTATAAAATATAGTAATTTAAAATGGTAGTTGGTAACTTTATGGCACCTGCATAACGAATTTTTTGAATATTTTCTGAACAACTTGGCGCTTAAACTTTTTTCACGCGGCGCCTAAAATATTGGTTAAAAAGTTAAGTTGGCACTCCCCTTTACGCGGAGCACCCTGTTACAGGGTGATGTCCGTCAGCTGAGTTGTTGTTGTCGTTATTCCGGACAAATTGTAAGTAAATTCGTTGTGCCATAATTAAACAATTAAAATGGAGACATACAGCACTGATAATTGCGTTTGAAACGTTCCTCCTGTTTGCCAATAGGGCGTGCACTAATCTTATCTATACTGTTTCCGTACACGCTGTCCGGAACTCCCTGCAAAATCATTGACCAAATCGATGTTCTTAATGTCTGCCGGCTCCTCCGATTTTGTGACTGCAGCTCGAAGATCGGAGGACGTGGAGGCTAAGTCGGAGGAGAACAGCACTCTCTGCTGCTGTGAGTACGTGGGGGAGAAGAGCCAAAAGCGATCGCACATCTTAGGATGCTGTTGTAACTGCGTTGACTTCGACTTGGTGTGCACAAGGTGAGAAAGTAAATTCAATACAAGCTAGGATACAAATTATCTTCCTTAGACTTGTCACTTGCCGAGCTATCGATCGAAGGAACATAGACGGTATGCTGATCGCCTTTCAGGACCGACTACGTCTGCCATGGCGCGGCGGAGCCAAGCGAATTTCGCCGGCAGCCGTGGCTCCGGCGTTTATTGTCCCACTCATGCTGGGATTGGCCACTTTGAACTCAAAAACAGCCGTGGTGCTGATGCTCACTTTGGTGGGCTTCACCATCTGGGGCGTTCAGTTAGCCAAGAAAACGGCCACGCGAACCAACTTCTTTCTGAGCTGGCTGGTCTTCTCGGTGCTATACATGATTATCATATTTGAGTTCCAGGTGCCACTGCTGGAGCTGGCGCCCGAGGAAAATTATGCGCTGATGTTCTTCTCCTGTGCAGCCCTATACTGTCTCTATTCCACCAAGGTTCTGTCTCCTTTGAATCTTGTCTCGGCCCAATATGGAACCACGCCCAAGGATGAGTTACCAGGTATCGCGGAGGCTTCTAGTAGCGAGGAACAGGCAGAGGCCCAGATCACGCTCCAGATGGACAGTGTATTAAGTCTGGAAGACGATGACGAGGTGGTGGACATGGACACTGCTGAACGGTCGGGCCTGATGCATGGGCAGCCCAACATCTGCGAGATCTGCCGAAAAGTGACACCTAGACGGGCATACCACTGTCTCATTTGCGGAACTTGCGTGAAAAGGCGGGATCACCACAGCTACTGGCTTAACTGCTGCATCGGGGAGCGGAACTACGTGTGGTACATAGTCGGGCTGGCTCTGTCGGAGATTGCACTCCTGCTGGGTGCTAACTTAACCCTCACTTCGATTTGCCATCCGTTTATGGTGGTGCGGCCACTGGGCTATCCTGTGCTCCTGCCCGACGACTGCAGTGAGGTGTTTGAAGGCTTTGAGTGAGTAAAACATTTGAATTAAGACCATATTATATATACTTGCCTTCCTCAATCAGGCTTGGAATCTCCTTTGTTGTGGCTTGCTATGCCCTGCTCATCTCCGCCTACGTCGCCTTTATACTCACTCGGCAGGCCTACTTGTGGTGGAAGGGCTCCACTCTGCACGAATACAAACGTGCCTCTAACGCCGCAGGTCGCAACAGAATCTGGAGCAATTGGCGAGCCATTCTGAAGTGATCGCTCACATACCAAAAAGTAGAAAGCACAAGCTTGTCGCCCAAATACAAAAGTATTTCACTATAAACGCTGTTCCCCTGGTAGTCGTACTTAGTCGTAGCGCTTTAAGGTCTTATATGCAATTTCAAATTTATTCAAAATAAATATAATTAAGAAACTATAAAGTGAACTTTTAAGTGCGCTACCATAAGCTATCCTCTCTCGGTTTGTAATCAGGCAACAGCTCCCAGATCTTCATGCGCCATCGCTGGCGTCGCTCCTCTGTCTCTTTTTCGATTTTGAGGATCTGCGGCAGGCGCCGCCAACAGTCCAGAACCTTCCACTTGAGGTGCCTAGTTAAGATGTTTAAATACAAAAATGAATAATCCTATACATATTTATTTACAGCCACCTACCACTCGTGATGAGAGATTGCCTGCCTCGTCTTGGTGTCCTCAATCATCCGACAGCGCGTAGAGTATTTATGCCACCGTCCGAACCAGTACTCCATGGCATGGAGTGCATGCCAATCGATGGCCACCAGCATCTTGCTTTTCTCATTCTGCACATAAATCATCCAGGCGAACAGAGCGCGTCTCTTGAGGATGCTATGCCAACACCTCTCCGCTCGGATCATCTTCTCGCGCTGCTTATAGGCCGTGTAGTTGTGCCACGAGTGGAAGGCGTTCTTTTTTAATAGCTGTCGGCGGGAATCGTAAGAATGTTAATATAAATTAATATAATATAATTAATATAATATAAAGACGTAGTCAGAAAAAACATACCTGACTTCGGAACTCCTCGCTCTTGACCAGATTCTCGCGCTTGCGCTGCAGAAGCCGTTTGAAGCCCTCCATGCCAATCCGGCTTAGCAGTAGCCGGCGACTGAACTCCACTGCCTTCCGCTGGTTATCCATGAAGCGCTGGCGTTCCCGCTCTTTTAGGATCTTGGCCATTTTCTCCTGGCGTCGCTTTTCTTTGAGGACCTCTATTCTCAGGCGCTTGGCCTCTTCGTCCTCCTGTCGCTGTAAGATTCAGGGAGTAAAGGTATGTTAATAGGAGCTATAAGGTATATTTAAACATTCCTATAAATACCCACCTTGGCCTCCTCCATCGCTACCTTGGCCGCCTCCCTTTCGGCATCCGCCTGGGCCCGCCGCTGACGAGCCTGCTCATGACGGACACTTCTTTCTGTTGCCCGTTCCTGCATGTGCTGCAAGAATCGTGGCTGGAGCAGTGCTTTACCCTGCAGCCGGGCCATCTCCTCGTCATCCGCATCACGAAGACTGCCTATTAGCTGCAGGCACTTGGCCTTAGCTTTGGCTTTGGGATCCCCGCAGCGGATAACCGTTTTCAGCTCCTGTTTGAGATCCTCCCGTGCTTCTTTGGCTTCGTCGCTGAGTTTAGTCAGTTTAAGCTGCATGATTAGACGCTCCTGGCGCTCCAGCTTGATCCGCTGTAAGTCAATAATGTCCTGCTGTACTTTAAGTCTGGTAGAAGAACCCCAAATTAGGGATATTTATAAATATTTGTATATCCTTAAAAAAAAAGAAGAAACATACTTATTCTTAAACTGTTTGGCCATCTTGACGGCTTCCTCCCGTTGCTCCAGAGACTTCTGGGTTATCTTACTGGTCTCGGCCACAGTTTCTGTGCGCTGTCGCCTCTTTTCCTGCCGAACCTTGTCCAGAAACGCATTGATCTTTTGAACCCGATTGTCCCGCGCCTGGTAGGATTGTCCCTGCTCCCGCTCGATCTTCTCCATCGTTGTAAAATGTATCCACTTAAGGAAGTACTTGCGCATAACCACCATTTGAGTGTTGGCCCTGGCTTGGAACAGTTGGTCTATGATCTTCTGCTTCTCGTGAGTGGGTGCCACACCCGAGTCATCTTCACTGCCGCTGGACGATTCCGAGGGCTCAGGTTCCTTGGGATTTACTACCACCTTGGGCAATTCTATTCGTCGGATGAGCAGGGGTTCCGGTTCAGGATCGGCCTCTGAATCACCGATTGGATGTGTGCTTGGTGTTGGAGTTTTCTTTTGAGGCAACTGAAACTGCACCTGCTTTGGCGGAACAGGCAGCTCCTTATCGAGCTGTTCGTTTTGCTCCTCAGCAGCTTCCAGTTGTAGTTCATAAAGCGCTTCCTCGGCTAAATCGGAAATTACGGAGTCTATGCCATCGCTGGTGTTGGAACAGGTCGACGATTCTCTTTTCAGCAAGGAAGAATTACCGTCTGGTTGCTGCTCCTGCTTATTCTCCTGCTGCAGCTCCTCCTCGTGTCTTATAGTGCGGACATGAAGCATCTGGCGCTCGGCTGCCGCCCGCATAGGCCTAAAGAACTCCTCCGTGGAGGTCAAAGGACTCGGGGTGCGGCACCGCAGGAGTTTCGCCTTGCTCTCATCCGCTTGGACTTGCTTCGTGAAGTTCCGATACTCCAGAGCATCAAAGGATATCACTTGCTCCTCCAGGAAAGTGGGGAGCTCCATCACCTGGGCTTTGTGCTCCGCCCACTCGCAATCCATGTCCGCCTCCTTTTCCGGTTCTGGTCTTAGTTGCTGGATAAGGCTCTTGGTGGCCGCTGACTTGGTTTCGGAGCACATCTGCGCCATCTGACCTAGGGCCTGGACAGGAGTGTTGTAGAAGTTATCAATGTGCTGGGCAGCCTGGGCCAGACTCTTCACCAGGGGTCCATTATTCAGTTTGAAATCCGGTTTGGTCGGCGGCACTCGGTGGGACTTGCTCCGCTGAAATTGCCTGGACAACTGCTGGCGGAACTTCTGCAGCTGGTTGTCGATGAAACGCTGCTCCACCTCCAGATTGTGTGCCTTGGTAACCTCCAAAGAGTGGGCGTGGTCATGGGCCAGGGTGGCCAGTGGCAGTTTGTGAGGTATCTTCTGAAACTGTTCGAAGAAAAATGGAAATCAATACATTTTTCTTATGTTAAGTTTACTACTAGTGTATCAGGCTTAGTACAATAAATTACTTATTAATTTGCGATTAATTAGTTAATCGTCAGTTTTAATTTAATTATCAAATTAAAGTTGTTTCCCTATGATAAATTTAATTTTAAATTTCTGTTAAACTTATTAAAATTAAACAGCTCACTTTCTTATAGTATTTATTTCCTCTCACCATCTTATGCCGCATGTCCATAATAACACTAGGATTAAGCTGCTTGGGATCTTCTCCCTCGATCAGAAGGCGCTCCTGTCGCCTTCCCACATAATCCGCCTCGATAAGGCGACGCACTGCATCCGTCTTCAGGCCCAAAGCATTTGTCTGCTGGTGACGTTTGCGGATGCGATCCCATCGGGACTCCTTAATGGGCTTCTCACGACGTTTTATATGCGACATATTATTTAAATGTTGTCTCGAATTCTAATAGTAAAATCTAGTTTTTTCTATTTGAAAATAATATGGTAACTGAGTGCAAGGAAAAAATTCGTAAACAAGTTGAATTTATTGTCCTGACAACGAAAACTAGCGGCCCTACTCCCGTTACCAATTTATATTCAGACCTTTATGAAATGAAATAACCCCTTAAAAGCAAACACATTTTATTGCTTTCAAAGCACAGCTTGATCCATTTTAAAGTTTATATAAATGCCATAAATATTAGATAAGTCGATAGGTAACAAAAATTTAGAGGACTTTGCAAGCTTAGTTTAGCAGTATATTTCGTAGTAATTGAGTGAACTTTAATATTAACCGGCAGCCGGGTCCTTCTTGGTCTTTTCCTTTTTGCCCTTTTGTTTCTCAGCGGCTGCCAGCTCCAGATCAATAGGAGCGGGCTTGACGAACGGGATCTCATCCTGGAACTTGGCTGGTAAGTACTTCTTCAATGGTTCCGGCACCTTGATGCCCGTCTCTGTCTGATGGGTCTCCAGGATAGCGCAGATTACTCGAGTGGCGGCACACATCGTGGCGTTCAGCATGTGCACGTAGTCCACGGAGGCGTTCATCTTCTTGGTTTGCCCGTAACGCACCAGCAGACGGCGGGCCTGGTAGTCCAAACAGTTGGAGCACGATACAAGCTCTCTGTAGGCGCCGCTGCCACCGAACCAGGCCTCTAGATCCAGCTTCTTTGAGGCGGCATGGTTGAGGGCCCCTGATACGATGTTCACCACGCGATATGGAATGCCCAGAGACTGGCAGAACTGCTCTGCATTGCCAATCATCTCGTCCATCATCTCCCAGGACTTGTTGCCGTGCGGGGAGGTGAGCACGAACTGTTCCACCTTCTCGAACTGATGGACGCGGAAAATGCCGCGAGTGTCGCGACCGTGGGAGCCCACTTCCTGTCGAAAACAGGTGGACAGGCCAGCGTACTTGATGGGCAGCGATGCCTCTGGCAACCACTCATCGCGATGGTAGGCGGCAATGGGCTGTTCAGAGGTGGCGATCAGGTATTTCTCGTCGACGCCCACCTCCTCGGCCTTCTCGCTCCCCTTGCCCACAACTTTGTACAGTTCTTCGTCGAACTGCGATAGCTGGGCCACCTCCTGCATCACCTCCTTGCGCATAAAAAAGGGCGTATACAGAGGAACGTAATCACGGGCATACAGCAGATGCAACGCGTGCTGGATGAGAGCCTGCTCCAGGAAAACGGCTGCTCCGGTGAGGAAGTAGCCACGTCCGCCCGACACTACGGCTCCCTTTTCGGCGTTCATGCCATCGATCATCACGATGAGGTCCACGTGCGAGTACTTGCCGCGCTTTTCGCAGTCACCAAAAGTCCGTTCCACGCGGTTCTCCTCCTCGTCATTCGACACTGGGACAGATTCGTGCAGGTGGTTGCCCACCTCCCGCAGAGAGGTATTCCTCGTCTGCTCGGCCAGCTCCAGTGACTTCTGGTTCTCCGTCATGGCATCGTCGATAAGGACGCGCAGCTGCTTGATCTGATTGACGGTCAGTGGCTGCAGCGTTTCGGCAACGATCTCAGTGAGATCCTGAGTGACGCCGGCCGGCAGATCCTCGCTCATTGCGCCCACCGGCTCCTTTTTCTTCATCTTTTCGCCGATCACCTTGCTGCAGACGTTCTTCACCTTGTTCAGGTTGTCCGCGCGGTGGCGGCACTGACGCCATTCCGTGTCCTTGGCGATCACCGTCTCCACCAGAGCCACATCCTTGAAGCGCTTCTTCTGGTTATCGCGAACGGCGTCGGGATTCCCACCCTTGTCGCTGCGAAACAGATCCAGATCCAGCACCATATTAGCTACGCTTTAATTTAGTTTCAGTCGCGGATTAGTTAGTTCGTCGGCGTTTTCACAACGTGGCTGGCTTTTTGCGTCAGCTGGGTAGTGTTGTAAAGCGCAGAAAGGTGTTGCATTTGAAGGGGTTTCTATGAGGACGAAGTGCATTATCGTGACTCATCTTATTCCAGTAAGATATTGAGTGACTCTAAGATACAAGCACATTTATTTGTCCAATCCAAATAAACTGTTGTGCAACTTTAATTTAGTGCTGAAGGTTAATTTGTATAGTTTTTATAATTTTTTCTATTAATTATATATGGGAAATAAATTGAAAATTTCGGAATTTTCCAAAGTAGCTTATATTAAAATTGTATTTTTTTAGGAGGTAGTTTTTTCTTTAACCTTTTCTTACTAGTCTCAAAGTTAATTTATTAACTGATTTTTAAATACTAAGTTTATGATAAATATCAAGCATACTAAGTTTATGATAAATATCAAGCATACGTTTTTTTCGGCACAATTTCAAAATAATCTCTCACTTATTCACAACACTGGCAGTGGGAACGGCATCAGCCCTGCCTTTCCCAGCTGTTCAAAAAAAGTCCGATTGGAGAACACAACGAACCTCTAGCTGATTGCCCTTCCAAAAATGAGCTTCATTGATCAGGAAGTTACGGAGATCCGGGCCAAATGTGAGAAGCAGGTGCCCCACACGAAGATCATCATTTGCTCTAGCTCCCTAATACGGGTTGACATCTACCCGGAGCGGCCTAACCGATCGATGACCGTGTGTTTACGTTTCCCACAGAACTATCCGCGGAGCACTCCCATCCTGGTGGAGCTAAAGAGCCGCGTGTACTCCGACATGCTGCTGACGGAGCTCACTCGGCTCATCGATGACTATGCGCGGGACTTCATTGGAAAACCACAGGCGCTCTTGGTTCTGGCCTTTGCCCAACAGTATTTATCGGATAATCCGCTCTGCGTCTGCCTAGACGAGATCAAACAGCTAAGGGCGGACATCAAAACTGGGGGAACGGAGAGTCAGCTTAAGCTGAAGCAAAAGAACAGGAGCGTGGAGCTGGTGGCCAAGGGAGGCCTCTTCACGTATAGAGTTACGGCTGTAGTCCCGGATAGTTATCCCATGCAGAGTGTAGAGTTGCGTGGTCAGGAATCCAATCTCCCAGCCGTACTCGTACGCTACCTAAACGGCCAGTCGCGTGAGATAGCCCGTCAGTGCGTGGAGCCCCCGATCCGACTAAGCAAGGAGGCACTGGCCAATTTCCGACCAGTCAGAAGCTTGCAGCGTTCGCTTAAGTTCTGCCTGGAGGCCACCCGAGATTTCCATATAGAACTTTGTCCAATTTGTGATAATACGGTGCTGCCGGAGGATCCGCAGGACATTGAAACGGATGACAATGCGGACTCATTCATCGAGCGCGTATATTGTGGCCACCTTTTTCACCAGGGTTGCCTTAAAAAATACCTGTCGGAGCCGCCCTTCCCCAAAGGCGGAAAATTCTGTCCGGCCCAGCGTCGCCATCCGCGATCGGATGCCCAGACCTACATGGGGAGGACCCAGGGCGGAGTAGTCACTGTGCCCCGGACTCCGGACGACGGTGTGTGCGGCATAAAGCTGGCTCACGATCGCTGGGTGGTGAGCGTAAAGACGGCGGAGGCTCGCTGGGCCCAGAAACAGGCTCGTCAGCGGGAACTGGAGGAGGTGGTGGACTTTCTGCAATAACAGAGGATTCTACTCGGAAACAGCTTACTGTGTATGGTTATGTATTTTGTGATTTCTATTCGAATACGCTTATATTGCTAATGATAAAATAAATAAAATGAAGATGAAGTGCGACTAGGTTCGATATGAGCAAGGGTCCTGCATATCTTGTTAACTCGATGTCAATAAATTGAACACACTACAGTGCAACAGTCTTTTTCATCTCGACTTTTACAAATTTTGCACGAATTTGATGATGAGAATATTACTTAGACTTAATGGTAATAAATAATCTAATCTGTCTATACCCTTTTATGACATAATATAATAGCAATAAATAATAATTCAAATCGAATTAATTTAACTTAAATTTTGAGAAAGTGAATAGTCTGAAAACATGTTTGTTTTTGTTTCAGAAGCCTATTAAATAAAGGGAAACTAGTTAAATCGTTAAATTTTGTTCTAATTATGAAGGAATAAACTGGAAGCCCTTTGGGTAAAGGCTTATTTGGCTAAACTTCAGAAATCCGTGACTATTTCGTCGTCCTCGTACCGCTTAATCGGATCCCCCTTGATCAGCGATGAAATAAGACTGTAAGGTAATTGATAAATATATTCAATAATGTTTGAGCAGTAGTATGGAATCCCCAACTCACCAGTACAGCCCCACGAAGAACATGACGAAGTAGTAGCCCAGGTAAATCATACAATTCCGCAAGTGGACCTTTAATAATCCCCGACTGTGTATGTCTACCGGATCGTAGACACCCAGGCTATCACGCCGCTGGCGATTAAGTTCGTAGAAAAGCCAAATTACCATCGGCAGGTTTAACAGAAACATCACCCAATGGCCACCAATAAGCAGGAGACCACAGAGCAGGGCGTGGGATCCGAATTTGGGTATGACCCAGAAGTTGAGGCGCCGGCAACACTCCTGGGCATTCAGATAGTCGCACTCCAGATCCGCCAGCGTCAGGACCTACAAAATAATTTGACTATTTAATATTGTCCTCTTAATGAAAAACTAAACTCACATAGTAAATCAGGAGCAGAAGGATGGCTCCGTATACCAACAGGGTGATACAAAAGGTGGCAGTTTCGGGCAGAAACATTATTGCACGTAAGACTCACTTTTTTACTTAAAATTACAGGGATTTTCTTTGTTATTTACAGATTTTGCAGCATTTCGCGTTTGATTTGTTTTTAATTAAGAAAATGTACTATAAAATGCCATACTGCGTTTGGAAAACCAGTGCTGCAAAGCGGTTTGGCGATTTACCAGCCATAAAAAACGAATATTTTGATTTTAAAAACTTCTCCATTTTCTGGTTTCCAAAAACAAATTGAAGAAAGAATGTGAATGCGGACTTCTTATGGACCTAGTAGAGGACGATTATGTTACCTCGTATCCTAGTTATAATTTAAAAAAAAACTCACTGCCAGAAGATTAGAAGTCCCAATTGGACCAAAAGTAACTGAAGATGATGAATTCAACCTTCAAGACGTCCTTAAGGAGAGCGGTGGCGCTATATCGCGTTAGACTGTTCCAAAACTTTCGTCTTTAAATATTAATAATCCATTTCAAACAATCGATGGTTTTTGTGTTCAATCGATTTCTAGCGATGATTTTTAACATAACGACCAGCTGTTTTTCCCGCGTACGGCTACATTGTTTCTATAATCATAACAAACCGTTATTTGTTTTTGCGAAAAAAAACTTTTATTTTAAACTTAAGTACTCCTTGATTTATATATCGGCAATGCAGGCTGCCGGTTGCAATGCTATCCTGTCCCTGAGGCAGTTCGTCCTGCTCGCCAGGCGGCACCGGTCGGCACAATCCGCGCTTTCCGGCTCCCAAACAAATGCCCAACAAATACCCCCGTCACACGAGAAATGCGGGGACAAGATGCGAGGATGGCAGCTCCACAATTACGGTGACATCGACGAACTGCAGCTTTCAGAAAAGGTAAAGATTCCCCAGATACGTAGCTCCAATGAGTGCCTGGTCCGAATCCGGACGACGGCAGTTAATCCCATCGACCTGGCCATGCTCCGTGGTTACGGAGCCGCGGTACTAAATAAGATGCGCTGCAAGTCCGGCGATGGCATCGAGTTTCCCCTCATCCTAGGCCGCGAATTCTGCGGAGAATTGGTTCAGACGGGCATGGGGGTTGCTTCAGATACTCTGCCCTTGGGAGCCCGTGTCTGGGGAGTGGTTCCTTTGCAGGCCAGCATCGGAGCCCATGCGGAGTACGTAGCCGTGCCTTCATACTGTGTAAGTGCTTATGTTACTCAAAATAACGCGCAGCTAATCGAAACCAAAATTCTCATTACAGCTCGCTCTGGCTCCCAAAGAACTGGATGACAACGAGGCCGCCAGCGTTCTGTATGCCGGATTGACGGCGTGGTCGGGCCTTTATATCACTGGAGGTCTGGGTGGTCCATGTGGAGCCACCACATCTTCTGGCGGTGGTGCCCACAAGCGAGTATTGGTTCTGGGCGGCTCCGGCGGCGTTGGCTCCTTGGCCATACAAATCCTTAAGTCCCAAAAAGTTCAGGTTCTCGCAACCTGCAGTGAAAATGCCGTGGAAATGGTTCGGAATCTGGGAGCCGACTTCGTTGTGGACTACAACAACAGCGAGTCCATGAAGGAGCTGTGCAAATATGCACCATACGACATTGTTCTGGACTGTTCCGGCCAAGGAGGTCAAAAGGCGGCTGAATCAATGTTTGATTACCGGCAGTACATCACCTTCTCATCGCCACTGCTGGCAAACATAGATAAGCAGGGACTGGGTCTGGGAGCACTTCAGAATGTGTTTGACCTGGTCCAGACCAATGTAAAGTCCGTCTCGCAACGCGGCGGTCTTGTAAAATGGGGATTTTTTAGTCCCGCTCCGCAAGGTATTCAATTCCTGCAAAAATTGGTGGATCAGCGGAAGGTTAGTATTATTCCCCTGAGTTTTTATGTTTACTAATTCGCTTCTGGCCTTTAAGCTGATGCCGCTGATCGATAGTAGCTACGGGTTCGTTGATCTGCCAAAGGCCTTTGAAAAGATGAAGAGCGGACACTTGCGGGGCAAGATAGTGGTGAAGATCTGAGCGGAAATATACGAATAACCGACAAATATTGTTGGTTCTGACCCATTAAAAAATTCTGTTGGTTAATTAAATCACTAAAGCTAATTAATTTATAAAACAGCGAAACGTTGACGCAATTCAAATGCATCTTAGCACGCGGTTCAAAAACTAATTTGAAGCCACTGACGCATATGATTACTTATAATATAAAATAATCGCCGATCGGCCTGATTTGATGGCTGGCGTTCATCAAGGATCACCTTTAAATCACCGTGAAAATCCGGCATCTAATCGACTACACATATGCAGCGTTTAGGCTGAAGGGCAACTGGTCGTTAGGTAGCTGCAGCTTAAGTGATTCAACTGGGGCAAGCATACTTCCTAACACTCGCTGGTCGTGCGCCCATCGTAAAACTATTCTCGGACCAATGTTGACGAAGCACGACACACGCCATCGGTCTGCTAAAATTTCCGTCCGTCTATATTTATTCCATCGCCTGCCTGGCTAGCTGGCCCATCATCGGCCAATACCCAGATTCCTTATCAAACATTGAGTGGTCGGCGGGGCGATTCCGCAGCACGCGGCCTGCTCGCTCTAATCACATCGTTCACATGCGTTCGAAACGCTACTTAGCATCAAAACATGACCAACTCGCTATCACCAAGGTTGAGGCTTTCCAAAACCGAACAAAAAGTCTCTATCGCCGCTATCATCCGACATTGGCGACAAAGAAAGCGAAGAATGCACGCGTCTCTGTTTTGTTTTGGTTTTTATTAATAGCTCTCAATTTGTTACCGGGCCGTGGGTCTTAATATGATCGAAATTGACAACTGTTTCTAGCTGATGTCCGAATACTCTTTACGATCATAATTAACTATGTGTATAGTTAAGACAAAAATCAACTGCTTAGGAGACGTACTTTTTATATAAATTATATCATAAATGTGTGTCAAAACTTACCAAAGAATCAATATACCCTAAAGTACTTATAGAGTTTGCTAAGGGAAAATTTTGTAGATTGAGGGTTGTGAAGACCTTGAAATCCCAGCCTTATCTAATGTCTGAATAAAATTAGCTATTATTGGAAAAAATTGTCAAGGCAGTAACAAACCTGAGCACTTGATATTTGTAAGCGCTGTCCAGAGTAGTTGTATTAAGCATAATACTGTTATGTGTCATCCATTTAGTGACTGCGATTTCGTAAGTACTTGATGCTAGAGCTTCGTCAACTTCCTTACCTTTGCTAGCATTATTTTCTTAGATGCAATTAAATCATATACAATTGTTGGTGTGGCACCAGGAAGCGGAATAAGAAATTTGTTTTTCCATGAAGCATTTATTTAGAAATCTTCCAATCTTTGCAGTCTATTAATCGAACCTAATGCCTTGATCGAAATTGGGGCAATCTATAGCGGGTTTGGTAGAATTTTTTTGGAAAATATTTGCATCTGATTAAAAGGAAATGGGTTTCGTAAATACGCATTTATTTTGTCTAGCGTATTAATTTGATTTAATTTGGTATTTTAAACAGTGAAACAGAGAGGGACAACTAAGTGGCTTCGATCAGGGATGTACGTTGTCTTGGATAATTTTCCAATCAGAGAGGCCTTGACTGGGTTAACGTCATACATATAAAACATTATTTTTCTTACTAGTCAGTTTTTTATATGAGTCGGAACACGAAAGTCAGTCATTTTAATACTTCCTGAAAAAAACAAATATTTTAATATTAGTAAATAGTGAAACTAAATTCGTAATAAATATAAGAACTAAATTATAATGGATAAGAACAACCCCTCATTGCTGCCTTATATAATGGACCTGCTCAGTCGACAGCCGAAGCTATGTGAGTTATTTTTATTCTCGAAATTCTGGTTTTTAGTTTTTTTAACGAATTTTCGAATTTGGAGCTCAAGGCATAATTACTAGTGATTTTTTTTTAAATCCAAAAAAAAAAACAATCTATTATAGATTTTTATGAGTCTGAAAAATATCTAATACCAAATTTTTTTATCAGTCACCACCAAGGAAGATCTGGTCAAGAGCATCAGGGACATAGTGCTCGAGGAGCACATCGGCCCTTTCGGCAGTCTCGAGGGTGCTGTTGAGTTTTCCCTGGATGTGGGCGTCAGTCTTGGCATCATCTCTTTAACCGACGAGAAAGTCCGTGTGCCTTTTAACTTCCGCATGAGCCGCCATAAGGAAAGAGAAACCGGTGGTGCCCGGATCTCGCCAAAGGACGGGCGCAAGGCTATCAGGCAGCGGATGCCAAAACCACCGGCGAAGGCGGCCAAACTAATGGGGAAAAAGGGTGCAAGGCTACGAAAAGTAGCGGGCAAGGCCGTTGGGAAGACGACGGGCAAGACAGTTCAAAAGAAACGTTGCTAGCGGAACTAAGTCCAAGTGAATACTCCCAGACAATAAACCACCCTGCTAAGAACAGTATCCGGAGCTTTTTGTTGAACTGGCTGGGCGGGCATTCGAGCAACTGGGTTAACTAGGCGATGTCAGCTGCGATGGCACACACTTGGACTAATTACCAGGGCAGGGGCACAAACAAAAATGTAAAAAAAAAGGGGTACACCTGTCCTTCTTGACGTCGCATTTTCATTTGATTTGTTCGAAGTTAGAGGCGAGTTTTGCATGAAAATGAATTATTCAGGGACTTTCGGTGGTAATAATGAGATCGGTGGGCTTGCTATGTGCTATGTCTACGAGGGAAAATTAAAAATGCGGTATTTGGTGGCCACCGATCCCCCTGTCCTCGCAAACCCAATGTATATAAGGAATCCAACGAGTGTAGCCCTTGTTCAGTCTGTCTGCGAAACAAGTCGGATCCATACGTGCCCACCAAAAGGATATATAATCTAATTTTAACAAGAAGGACCTGCTATCCCAGCCGATATCCCTATCCTGGTTATCCCCAACGGAATACAAAAAGGATACGCGATCAGTGGACCAAAGTGAAATAGGTAGCCATTGAAAAGTGTTTTACCTTACCCAAAATTAAACAACGTTCGAATAAGTGTCATACGAAATGTGAGTCAAGTGCAGACGATCAAAAGTGGCGTGTTTTAACATGCGATCTATTTTTTTCTAATGAATATCATGAAAATTATAATTTCTCTGGCGTAGGATATCATGCGGAGGGATATCATGCTATACAAATAAATAAAAAAAATGCATGTGCCAAGTGATTTCTTATCTATATTTCAAAGAATTTCTTGAAGTATATAACTTAATAAAAATGGTGTGATGTTTGAATGCCAACGATTTGTGAATATGTGACAGAGTTATACAAAAATAAATTATAAAATTTCGATATACGTTTATTGATCCTTGAAAGGGATTTGTTTAGTTATTTTTTTTGTGAAAAAAAGGATCTGCAGCAATATTTTAATAAAACAATCCAAAGTTTTACTTGTGGTTTAAGGAAATGAACAAATTACCAAAATATAATTTGGGTTCACAATTAAAAATGGTTTCGCGACTATCCCTTGTTTATACAATAATAATTTATTCTCTAGACACTTCGAATGTTTATTCGGAAAACCTTTGATCGCATCAGACAATTCAGTTCATATGTGCGCTCTGGCACGCGCCACATTTCTAGATTTGAATGTTACCATAGCATATTTTGGGAATGTTCTATCAACAGCTTATCAGGACAATCCCCCTCTGCTTCCACTTCCCAATTCCCTTGAGGTGCAATGCACGAAGTGGAGTGCTGGGCGATTATCTCGAGAGCCGGCTCCCGTAACTTGGCAACAAACACCCAGTGTCCCGTACCCGGCTCTCCTCCGGATCGAATTGGATTGTGCCGAATAGGCGAATCGTACGATCGATGCATATAGTTTTTATTGGGAAAAAACGGGACTGCTGCTGCAGGGTTCCTTATCAGCAACAGTCATTAAATCAAAAAACAATCATTGATTGCGATCGAATACTCAATACTCATGAAATGTTGATTGGTCACTTTCAATGGATAGGGTTTATATGGACATCAAAGATTAGTTGAGCGATTTAAAAAACCATTTTAAAAATGCTAGTCATCTGAATTTCAAGCTTTTGAAATTCTGAATATTTGGGATATGTTATACTCGTATATGTCTTCGGGTTTAATTTCAAATCCAGATCGCAGTATTATTTTGGCAGTTTCTTTTTTTTTTAATTTATAGTTACTTAAAGGTAAAATAATTGTAAATGTTTCCGTTGTATCCATTACTTCCGAATCGGCTGCCAAATCATATAAATATTAACTAATCCTTTTAATTGTTATTGATTGTTTTTTATTATTTGACAACAAATAGTGCTGGCTATTAAAAGATTAAAGTGGGTTAAATTGTTTAGATTCTTAAAAAAAAAAAGGTTGAATTGTTCATTTGGGAAACATAGTGTCAGATTTAAACATAGATTTTTTAATTTCTGCTTTATTAGCTGTTTGTTAATAGAGGGCAAAATTAATCAAAGTTTAAATAATATAATGTTATGTAAAAATATGCAGATCAAGGAGGATCATTTAGAGAAACAACTCTTTAAAAGCTACAACTGAGCTTATATTTGTTTTCGTAGTTTTCCAGTCCATTACAAACTGTCTTTTCTATTTTAATTTAATAGGGTGCAAAAGTAACCAAATACCTTCCGATAACGTTAATTTAGTTTTTAGCACTTATTTTATTGAATCTTTACGAATTGTCCAAATCATTGTATAGATCGGCCCCATACAGACTGAGCCTAAATAAAGCAAAAGGCAGAATGCCCAAAAAAGCCCTTAAGGAGACGGCGGCGGGCGAAGATGGAGACATTGTGATCTCGGGTCTGTCCGGGAAATTGCCGGAGAGCAGTAACATCGAGGAGTTTAAGTACAACCTGCTCAACGGCATCGACATGGTCACAGATGAGCCCCGCCGATGGGAAGCAGGTTAGTGCCAAAAGTCAGCAAGGTTGCCTTTAAATAATATAAATAATACAAAATATACATAAATATGTAACTTGTGTTCTTGAAGTACATACAACTTTCCTGCTAGAATTCGGCCCCACCTAAAAAGCAAAACGATACGTCTGAATTGTCTGACTCATAGCGCACGTTCAATAAACAACCCTTTTGAGTTTTATTTTCGTAATATTTCTTTTACCCCCTCCGATCAGTGATATCCACGTCTCGATCTCCTTCGGTCGCGGAAATAATTCCCAACTGGTTATAACAAACTTTGAGTAGAGAGTCCCATGGATTGCCGACAACGATTATGTCTTGAGCTTTGCTTCAGTTGTGGAGTGAGAACTTACGCAATGGAGCAAAAGTGAGAAGAACATATCCGAGGCAATTTTTTTAGTGCCTGGCCGCGTTCTGCCGCCGGGCCGTAAATAATCAATTTTAAACTGGTTTAGGTTAATTAAGGGGTCTTGAGCTGCTGCCATTTGATCCTGTCCTGTCTCTCTTTTTGTCAAATATACTAATTGCATAGAATTTTTTGTATGCCTTTACTTGGGGCTTAAAGTATTTAATATTATTTAATACAAATTTTCTTTATAAGTTGATGTCAATGTCTTGAAATCTTTTCCATGCATGTATTTCAATAAAATTGATTAAATTCTGAATTATATGGCAAGCAAAATTATCGTTAAGCCAGCTAGCTAAACAAATATTTAACTTAATTAACATTTTGCAGTACAACAAATTTAAAATTGTAGATTGTCACAAATTAGTTTGGGTATAAATAATATGTTTTATTGTGCAATATAGAAAATAAACATTTTTTTTTTCAATTGCATCTTTATTTTAAACTTTGCCCTTTGTAAAGGCATTTATGGACTCCCTGAGCGCATGGCCAAAATGAAGGACTCCGATCTGGAGAAGTTCGACGACAAGTTCTTCAGCGTGCATCAGAAGCAGGCGGAGCTGATGGACCCCTGCATGCGGATGCTACTGGAGCTGACTCACGAGGCGATCATCGACGCGGGCATTAATCCCGCCCAGCTACGAGGCAGCCGGACCGGCGTCTATATTGGTCTCTCCTTCGTGGAGACGGAGCACGAGATTCCCAACATGGAGCCGAGCAGCATTAATGGGTATTGCCTGACGGGATGTGCGCGGGCCATGTTCGCCAACCGGATCTCCTACACGTTCGACTTCAAGGGTCCCAGCTTCATCGTGGACACCGCCTGCTCCAGTTCGCTGGTGGCCCTGAATCACGCCTTTGCGGACATGCGGGCGGGTCGCTGTGATTACGCCCTGGTGGCGGGGGTGAATCTCATCTTGAAGCCAATCTTTGCCCTGCAGTTTCTCAGGCTAGGAATCGTGAGCCATGACGGCGCCTGCAAGACCTTCGATGCGGCGGCCAATGGTTATGCCCGGGCGGATACCTGTGCCGTGGTTCTGCTCCAGAGGCGGAAGGAGGCCAAGCGGGTCTACGCCAGCATCCTGAATGTCCGCACAAACACAGATGGCTTCAAGGAGCAGGGTGTGACTTTTCCGGATGGCCGCATGCAGCAGGCCCTCCTGCAGGAAACGTACAGCGAGATTGGCCTGAATCCGGACGAAGTGGTCTACGTGGAGGCCCACGGCAGTGGCACGCCCGTGGGCGATGACCAGGAGGCCAACATGCTTAGTAACTTCTTCTGCCGACCCTCACGATCCAGTCCGCTCCTTATTGGCTCCGTAAAGTCCAACATGGGCCATGCGGAGCCGGCTTCTGGGGTGAGTGCGCTGGCCAAGATGATAATCGCCATGGAGGAGGGGATTATCCCAAAGAATCTGCATTACCGAACCCCCAATCCTTCAGTTCCGGCTTTGGTCGAGGGACGCCTCAAGGTGGTGGATCGGAACCTGCCTTGGCAGGGTGGCATTGTGGGCCTGAACTCCTTTGGCTTTGGAGGAGCCAATGCCCATGTGGTGCTTAAGTCGCATGCCAAATCCAAAGTGCCAAAGACATCCTCAAACGCAGCGGAGGCGGAACAATCCCTGAGATTAGTCACTTGCTCTGGGCGCACGGAGGAGGCAGTGCGGCAGCTCTTAAAGGTGGCCACAGATCAGTGTCACGATCAGGAGTTGCTCACCCTCATCAATGACATCCACTCGCATCCGATTCCGTTGCATCCTTTCAGGGGATACGCTGTTCTGGACGCCAGTGGGTCTGTTAAAGAGGAGGTGCTGGAATACGAAGAGGAGGAGCGACCCATTTGGTTCGTTTACGCTGGCATGGGCAGCCAGTGGGCCAGTATGGCCAAGGATCTCATGCAGCTGACCGTGTTCAAGAAGTCCATACAACACTGTGCCAAGGTGAGTTCTTTATCTGGTTTTAAATAATTATAAAGTTTATATTTGTCTCGATCAGACAATTGCTTTATTTAACAAACAAAACCCCTTTTGCTACTTCTGTTCTTCTCAGATATGAAAATCTTACATTTACCTCAGGTACCATCCCCTATTCATAAGCATTGCATACTAAAAGGTGAATTCGTGTTCCTTCTCTTGCCATATAATTCCCAACTGGTTCTAGTATTTATGGAATAGAGAGGGCCTTGCTTGGCGGTGAATAGTTACTCTGGTTTCTCTTCAATTGTCGAATAAATCTTTCGCCTTTTACTAAAGATTTCCGTGGAGAGGAGCACTCAAATGAGTCTAAACGGAATTTTTGCTTAGTGCCCTGTTGGCGTATGCCTCTGGGGCCATAAATAATAAATTACATATCTACATAGCGGGCAGTAACATTTTTTTTCAAACGCTGATCAAAGGCAGTTGATTTCTAACTGTTTGGAATCTTTTTTGGAATTTTTTCTTCAACTTCCTCCCATGAATTTATACTTAGCTCCTGACAAATATTCCTTGAGGGGCCATGAATAATAATGTCATTGCAAAACTCTTTACGATGGATATATTATTTGTTGAAATAGAAACTAGTTTTTTGAGAATGTATATAATATCAGCATTACCTTTTTGCATCCATTATTTTTTTCAGGTTTTGGCGAGGGTGGACTTTGACCTTATCGATGTGCTAACCCGCTCCACGGATCGCACCTTCGACAACATGTTGTATTCCTTCGTCTCTGTGTCCGCCGTACAGGTGGCATTGACGGATCTTCTCCGGACTTTGGACATCCGACCAGATGGAATCATTGGGCACTCGGCCGGGGAGCTGGGCGCAGCCTACATGGATGGTTGTCTTACGGCGGAACAAACCGTGTTGGCCGCCTACTGGCGTGGCAGGAGTGTCCTCGACACTCCAAATTTGCCGCGCGGGAAAATGGCAGCCGTGGGTCTCAGCTGGGAGCAGATCGAATCGCATATCCCGAAGGATTGCTATCCAGTGTGCCACAACAGCGATGATAACTGCACAGTTTCTGGGCCATCGGATTCAATGGACGTGATGGTAGATAAGCTCAAGGCGGAAGGAATCTTTGTCAGGGAAGTGGGATCCGGAGGCTATGCCTTCCACAGTCCGTACATCGAAGGAGCAGCTCCTATGCTACGCAGAAATCTAGAGAAACTAATTAAGGAACCCAAAAAGAAGAGTCACCGATGGCTGAGCACCAGCGTCAAAGAAACGGAGTGGGACACTGAGAAGAATCATCTGGCCTCCGCTGGCTACTTTATAAACAACCTGATCTCTCCGGTGCTTTTCTACCAAGCGATCAAGAAGATCCCACAAAATGCCTTAATTGTGGAGATTGCACCCCATGGACTTTTCCGGGCGATTCTCCGCTCTCTGAGTCCGCAGATCAGCTATGTGAGTCTCATGCAGCGGGGTCATGCCAACAACTTTGAGTTCCTCTTGAGCCAATTAGGCAGACTCTTCGCCGCCGGCGGGCAACCACAAATCCTAAAGATCTCTCCATCCATAACCTATCCCGTTTCCCGAGGCACGCCCATGCTTGGTTCCCTGGTGGGTTGGGATCACTCGCAGAAATGGAACTACCCCAAGTTTAAGGGTGGACGGCAAACTGGACAGCTGAGTGTGGAACTGGACTTGGGCAAGGAGGAATATGCCTATCTGGCGGGACACACGATCGACGGGAGGATCCTTTTCCCGGCCACCGGTTATATGACCCTGGCCTGGATGAGCCTTGCCCAACAGCAGGGGCTGGACTACCTGCGCACGCCCGTGCTCTTTGAGGATGTGGTCTTTCATCGGGCCACGATTCTTGGAGTGGGCACCGTGGTGAAACTAACACTCAACTTCTTTCCGGGCAGCAGTGCCTTTGAAATCTGCGAGGGCAGCAGCCTGGTGGCCTCGGGAAAGATTCGTCTGGTGACCAATGTGCAGCAGGAGCAGCTTCAACTGGCTTCACTACCGGGAATTGCTGGCTCTAACAAGCTAAGCACCAAGGACATCTACAAGGAGCTACGACTGAGGGGCTACGACTACAGCGGTGTTTTCCAGGTATGTTTTCGGGCCTATAATTAGAATAAGAATATATATATATTTTTTAATTTATATATTTAACCAATATTGTATAATATATATAAAATTAATTTGCCAGGGCATTTTAGAGTCAGACATTGCGGCAATAACTGGTCGCCTGCAATGGGCTGATAACTGGATCAGCTTCATGGACACCATGTTGCAGTTCCGCATTCTAAGCAACAACATCCGCGAACTGTACGTTCCCACGGGAATTGAGAGGGTGCTGATTGATCCTCTGAAGCACTTAGAGCTGGCCAAGAAGAGCCAGCAGAAGTTGACTGTCAACTGGCACCGCAACATCTCGGTGGTCAAATGTGGTGGCGTGGAGATCCACAAGATGAAAACCGCTCAGACACAGCGACGATCTGGAGGGCAATCTGCGCCCAGCTTGGAGCGTTATAGGTTTTGGCCTCATATTCAGCACATGGGACAGCGTGAAGATCATCAAAAGTCAAGGGGCACGGCTCTGGCTGTGGCCATTCAACTGATCATCGAGAACAGCAATGGAGCCGTGAAAATTAAGGGCGTAGAACTGGCTGGAACTCGAACCAGTTTGGATACTCTAAGTGCCCTGCAGCTCCTAGAACTAATCGAACGAGAACCCGTCCTTGTAGGTGATCTTACAGTAGTCAGCACCGCCTCCAGTGAATCAGAGCTCAGGGAGCAACTCAAGGAACATGGAATTGGGGTGACAGCCAAAGATATCGCAGATGGTGCCGTGGATCAGCAGTGTCACTTTGTCTATTCTGTGGATACTCTGGCGAAAAATTCTCTCAAGGATCTCCAGCACTGCCTGGATAGCCTTAAATCCGATACGGGCTTTCTGCTCCTGGAAGAAGCAGCCAGCAGGTATAACATTATAGGAAAGGAGAAGTTGAGTAAACTTAAATTGGTGTCTGTTTTCGAGCAGTTCTTTGGAACCGATCGAGTTCTTGTCTTGGCCAGAAAACCACCGATTGTTAGGCCCACTGAAGCCCTAACTCTTCAACTGACCAATAGGCAATTTAAGTGGGTCAACGAACTAAAAAATTCTTTGGTGAAAGCCCAGGCTGACCAGAGGAATCTCTACTTGGTGGCACAGGGTGAACCCCATTCCGGAGCCCTTGGCTTGGTGAACTGCCTGAAGCGGGAATCGGGAGGAAACTGGCTTCGCCTCTATCTCATTCTAGATGAAGGCCTTCCCCAGTTTTCTCTGGAGGAACCGTTCTACGCTGATCAATTGGCCAAGGATCTGGCCATAAATGTGTACAGAAATGGAAGCTGGGGCACCTTCCGTCATTTGAAAATGGAATGCCAGCCGCCTCTGCTGCCCGTGGAGCAGGCCTATGTGAACACCCTCGTGAAGGGCGATCTCTCCTCGCTTCGCTGGATCGAGAGTCCACGTTCGAGTCCCACCCAGACGCATTTAGAACCCTGCACCGTTTACTATGCTCCGCTTAATTTTCGCGATGTGATGCTGGCCTCGGGAAAACTGGGCGTGGATGCCCTTCCCGGAGACTTGGCTTACCAGGATTGTGTCCTTGGGCTTGAGTTTGCTGGCAGAGACTCGTGTGGTCGTCGCATCATGGCCATGGTCACTGCCAAATCGCTGGCCACCAACTGCTTGGCTAACAAGAATCTGCTCTGGGAAATCCCAGCGAAATGGACCATGGAGCAGGCTTCGACTGTGCCCTGTGTCTATGCCACGGTTTACTATGCCTTGGCTGTGAGGGGACAGATGAAGAAGGGCGAGAAGATCCTCATCCACGCTGGCTCCGGAGGAGTGGGTCAGGCGGCCATCTCTGTGGCTCTGGCTCATGGACTGACCGTCTTCACCACCGTGGGCAGCAAGGAGAAGCATGAGTTCCTGCTGAAGCGATTCCCCAAGCTGCAGGCTCGTCACATTGGCAACTCCCGGGACACTTCATTCGAGCAACTTATCATGACTGAAACCCACGGTAATGGAGTGGAACTCGTGCTCAATTCCCTTTCAGAGGAGAAACTCCAAGCCTCGATTCGCTGCCTGGCTTTGAACGGCCGCTTCCTGGAGATAGGTAAATTCGACCTGAGTAACAACACCCCGATGGGCATGTCTGTGTTCCTCAAGAACACCTCCTTCCATGGAATACTTTTGGACAGTGTGATGGAGGGTGAGGAGGAGATGCAACTCACTGTGGCCAAGCTGGTGACGGAGGGCATTAAGAGTGGTGCGGTGCAGCCGCTTCCAACTACGGTATTTGCGGAACAGGAAATCGAGAAGGCGTTCCGTTTCATGGCCTCTGGCAAGCATATTGGCAAGGTGGTGATCAAAGTGCGTCTGGAGGAGGAACAGCAGGCAGCTTTTCCGCGTCTCCGCCAGATTCAGGCCATCCCGCGATCCTACATGCATCCGGAAAAGAGCTACATTTTGGTGGGTGGACTAGGAGGATTCGGCTTGGAGCTGGCCAACTGGCTGGTCTCCAGAGGAGCTCGCTTCCTGGTATTGAACTCACGCTCGGGAGTAAAGAGCGGCTACCAGGCCTTGATGATTCGTCGCTGGCATGACCGGGGTATCCAGGTGCAGATCGATACCAATGATGTGACTACCGCTGTGGGCTGCCAGAGAATGTTGGAGGTGAGCAATAAATTGGCCCTTGTTGGAGGCATCTTCAACCTTGCGGCTGTGCTCCACGATGGTCTCATCGAAGATCAAAGTGCGAAAAACTTTGAGAAGGTGACGGCACCTAAACTATTGGCCACCCAACACCTGGATAGGATTTCCCGAGACATTTGTCCCGCCCTGGAGTACTTTGTGTGCTTCTCCAGCGTGTCTTGCGGCAGGGGAAACCTGGGACAGACCAACTATGGATTGGCCAACTCCACCATGGAGCGAATCTGTGAGCAGCGACAGGAATATGGTTATCCGGGTACTGCCATTCAGTGGGGAGCGATCGGTGACACCGGCCTGATCATCGAGCACATGGGCAACAACGAAACGGTGGTGGGCGGCACAATGCCGCAGCGGATGACCAGCTGCTTGGAGACCATGGACCTGTTCCTTCAGCAACCCCATCCCGTCATGGCCTCCATGGTGGTGGCGGAGAAGCGCAAGGCGGAGCAGGCCAATCGGATGAGTCTGATAGCCACCATCGCGAACATCATGGGACTGAGGGATGTGAAGAGTGTCTCCGACAAGACAACCCTCTTCGACCTGGGCATGGACTCGCTAATGAGCACGGAGATCAAACAAACGTTGGAGCGGCACTTTGATTTGGTTCTAAGCGCCCAGGAGATCCGCCAGCTGACCTTCAGTGCCCTGCGGCAGATCGACGCCCAGGAGCCCAGGGAATCGGTGTCCTCCAAGTCCGCCGCCACCGCTTCACCCACTGCATCCACTGTCAAGGAGGTGGCCCGAGTGGAAGTGCAACCCCAGAGCGATGAGACGCGCAAGGTATTCGCCAAGGAAGTATTACCCCAGGAGGTGATGGTGCGCCTCCAGTCGAAGGCACTAGTGGCCAGCGAGGATCCGGCAGTCTTCTTCCTGGCACCCATCGAGGGATTCACAATAGCCGTGGAGGCGCTGGCCGCCTCGCTCACATGCCCCGCCTACGGGCTGCAGTGCACGGAACAGGTGCCCCTGGAGTCTATTGAGGCCTGTGCCGCCTACTATCTGCGCCAGATCCAGAAGCTGCAGCCCCTAGGACCCTACCACATCGTGGGCTACTCCTACGGCTGCCTGCTTGCCCACGCCATCGGGGTGGCGCTGGAGCAGCGCCGCTTTGGGGTCAAGGTCATCATGCTGGACGGTGCGCCCACCATGGCCAGCGGCTACGTCCAGGAGGCTAAGAAGCAGACGGATGACCTCAACCGTCAGCAGTCTATGACTCTGGCCTACTTTGGTGCCCTGCTCGCCGATGTGGACTACAACCAGGTGGGTCTTGGGATAGGCTTTGCTTAATCTTCATCCTTTTAATGTTTTTTTATATTAATAGCTGCTGCAACTCCTTGACGGAGTCCAGACATGGGCGTCTAAGCTGGATAAACTAGCCGACACTCTGGCCGGCCACACGAATCAAACCAAAGAAGTGGTGAGTCATTAGGTCTTCGATCATATAATTAGTATTAAAGATTTATATATATATTATATTTTTGCATCGCCATTTTATTTATTTTTAATGTGATTAATTAAGAAAAACATTGTTATTTGCGTTTATTATTATTATAGTAATTATTATTAAAGATTTATATATATATTATATTTTTGCATCGCTATTTTATTTATTTTTAATGTGATTAATTAAGAAAAAATTTGTTATTTGCGTTTACATGGGCACAAGCCTGTATACTTCGCGATTGATCACTACTGAGCATCTATTAGATTGTTGATCAATTCAAATACAGATAGTGCTACTTATAAAATAAGTTAACTCAAAAATACTCGTACTAAAGGGTGTGTTTATTTTTTTTTTGTAATACTTGATGTTGCCGAGAGAAACTGCACAAGTGTTTATTTTTATTGCCGGAAATAAGTACCTCAATAAACTCAGGTTAAAAAAGTTACTTAAATGTTATGGTAATTTAAAATAATAAATCTTATAAGTTTATTGACATTTAAAAGGTTTTGGGGTAATTTAAGTTATGATAAATTAAAATTATATTGAAGATGTCAGGTTGTATTTTGTACTGATCTCAGCAATCCTTCGCCTATTTCCACAGATCAAGAAGGCAGCCTGCATGTTCAAACAGAAGCTCCTACTTTCTGAAAGTTACAAGGGCGCCAAACAGCTCCAGAGCGATGTGGTGCTGATCAAGTCGGCCGAGCACAATGCGATAATGGCCCAGGATTATGGCCTCAAGGAGGTAAAAGTCTCATATAATTTCTATGCAGACGTCTACCACCAATTTTTTATTTTCTCATCTGTAGATTTGCAGTGCCCAGATCGATATGCACGTGGTGAAGGGCACACATAGGACTTTCCTTAAGGAGCCACACACTCTTCAAATCATTGAACGCGTCCTGAGGAAGCGTCCCTAGTGGAAGACCTGTAGTTTGTAGTCCTTTTAATTATATTATGTTGATGAATTATTCTGTACCTCCTAATGTATCCCCTTACCAGACTAATACACGTAGCAATCGCGCATCGATTGTTTAAGTATAATCAGCTTATTTTAATACAGTGAAACCTCGCTATCCTAAAAATTGGTAGACCGAAAATTATATCCATAAACGGTAGATAATTGAAGATGGTTGCTTCGCTTTTAATATAAATATATATACAAATATATACAAATATATAAAGTCATAATAAACAAACTAATAGCTAATTCTAATTTTATAATTCAAAATTAAACCTTGTCAAAATTTGTTACTTAAAATGCCTTGTTTTAAGACCTTTACTGTAGTTTAAAACGTTCGTAACCCTAATATTCAATAGGGCAAATCGGTTAGAGAAGTTCGACTGTGTTTTTAATTTAACTGTCAAATTATACTCGCGTGGCACTCGCATGATTTTCTCGATGAATCACAACGGTCCGAAGCTATCTGACCCGTGTTGGCTGGCTGGCTGGCTTTATTGACCCAATAGAACAGACTTCGGCGTACCTTTCCATAATTGATAATGCCTCCCACTCTATCGCGGCTGTGATCTCGCCAGACGATTAAAAATCGACGAAAAAGTGGTCCGACTTTGGCGGGCAAATCAAAATTTCTACATCTCCGTCACGCACACAACAGCTGACCATTTATCGCTGTTAATGCGAATTTAAGCGCCGCACAGAGTCAAGCAACAACAACAGAGGTTTACAGCGCCCGCTAAGTTAATAACAGCAACAATAACAGTAACAAAGAGGAAGCAAGCTGACTTGGGTAAGCCGATGTTTAAATGCCCTATGAAAACGGAAAAAGGTTTGCTTCTGGATCAAAACATTCAAATATATATACGAAAATATTATCCATTTACCCATTGCATATAACACAATCTGACATAAGACGTAAGGTTCTCGGTTTTTATAAAATGTTTTATAAATGTTCTAAAAACGTAATCTATTTAGAAACCTATTTAAAAAACTTAGTTTACTGCTTTCTGTGTGTAAAAAAAACTGATACGAAATGTAAACCCACCCAGCTAATTTTTAATCTTGAATATTTAGAAATGATCGAATAAATTGCTTGGGAACAGATGCTTATAGATTAAGTCTACAAGGTCAAGGATGACAGGCCAAAAAGCTCACCGAATCTGTAGTACTTTCTGCAAGGGCATGCGAACATCGGCTCTGCTATCGACTCGCCCACAAGGGTTAACCTTAACAGAGAGGGCAGAGAGCGCAATGAGAGCAGCGCAGCGAAAAGCTCTCTGCCGACATCGACGTCGCGCCGGCGGGTGTCATATAAAAGCCAGCGCTCACCTGATTCTCGCATTTCCGTTCGTCGCAGCAGCCCGCCGTTGTCGTGTTTTACTGAACCGCTACGCTACGTTTAAAATAAAAAATTTAACCGTGTGTGGCAAAGTAATTTGCAAAAACTAATAGCCAAATAACGGTAGAACGGAGAACTTTGAGTCGAAAGCAGAGTGCCCGAGAGTTTCTGGATTTCTCTAGTGTTTCACGTTGTGGTTATAGCGGTTTCCCCACTCAGTCAGGACCAACTGTAAAGGAGCCTACATAAATCCACCACTACCCCGCCCGCTCTAATACAAAAACTCGAAAAACAGCTGTCGAGCAATCGCCTGATTTTTAGGTATGTACAAAAAAAATGGCAGCCGCAGGAATAAAACAGCCGCCCCAATCCCTATGTGTGTGTGTGTCTATGTGTGAAAGAGAAAATGAAAACGAAATTTTCTGGACAAAAAAAGTGAATTACGAAAGAAAAAAGCAGTAAAGTGTGGCAAAAATAAAGAAAAATGGTTAGATCAAAAGTTTTCAAGTAATCTTACAAATTATTTCACTAAGTCAGCTAAAAATACGAATTACTGAATTTCGCCTATATTCGCTTCGCGCTTGGCTTACACAGCTTTTGACCTTTAGGACCCTTGGGCCCGACCAAACCCAAAGTGTTATTCCATACGCCCCCTAAAACATCAGTTCCTGTATTCAGACAGCAAATTACGGACGCTAATTGCAAAAGTCGGAGATGGAAAAGGTCAAAATCCCAGTCTCCCGTCTGCCGACCTAAGAAGCGTTATTTATAAAGAAGGGCTTCTCGATAGGGTTTCGCCTTCTAATTGTCAGCCAGAAGCAGCAAAAGTTTGATTTCTATGATTTCTTTGCAAGCCAACGTAAAATTAATATTAAGGGAACGGCAAATACACAATTAGTGATTGATTGTATATAAGATGATGTAAACATATTAGTGAAATGTTATGCTTTGACCAATTCAAAAAATCTTTCCTTTTCGTTTATGACTTTTTATTGCTCAGGACTTACAGAATTTATTTTAAATACAATTAAAAATCTAGAAAAATGGTACTCAAATTAAAATCGAGCAACATTTTGAAATCAGTGAACATTTTAAAATGATATATTTAACAAATTAGTGTAGGTCAGACCAGGCATTTCCTGGTTGCGTGTGAAAATATCGTTACTTTACAACCATGCTAACGAAACAACCATTAAGACCCAAAAATTAAATTCTAAATTACATTTAATATGAAAATAAGGCAAAGTAGAGTCATAAAGCATTTAAAGGCGAACAAACTGTGTAATCAAATACTTAAAATGTTAGTAGAAAATTGCAATTTAAATTACAATGAACAGCGATAAATAGATGCTTAAAAATTGAAAAAAATAGAAAAATGACAAAATAACATTTTAAAATACGAACAAATATTCTAAATATACTCAAAAGCTGCATTTCTAAATCGAATTAATTCTCAGAATCTTGCCAGCTCCATTTAAAGAATGCTTAAATAGTCGAAAGTTTTTTATCAGCCCGGCGATCGCTTTGCATAAAAAGCAACTCGCCCAGAAATCCATAAAATCAGCACACTCCCAACAAAACAAACAAAAATCGTGTGATTGGAAAATTTCGAGTGTCTGGCTAATCTTTATCGGCAAATAATAATGTCGCTTCCTGAAGTACACGCGTCCACTGGCGATCAAACATTTCCGATCCAGGTGCACGGTCGTATGAGTAGGCAGCGCCTTATCACTCTTATCAGCGAGTTTTGGAATCACCCCATGGCCCAGTCCCAGTACCAGGCGTTATCTCTTCGTTCATGAACTTGAAGCGTCACCAAAGCTTAGATGGAGTGGGGGAGGTTAGTGAGGGGAGTCTGTTGTTTCGCGTACACGTGTACTTGATGCCCCAATCGATAACTGTGAAAATAAAACCAAGTGCAAAAATAAACAATGTAGAGTGCCCTATGTAAAAGGGAGGGGTACTGTTTTGTTTGTCCTCCGTGTTTACCTATCCAGTGACGCAACTTTCGCAATATGGCCTGATGATGGATGGATCGATTGGGATTGGGGGGCTATCGATAAATCAATACCCTCCCCGTGTTATTACGGTAAAAGGATACATATTGTAATTGTCCGATTACACTTTAATCCAGAGGTACATAGATAAACGAGCTTAGAATAGCCGGGCAACCGAAACTATGAAAATAATACTTCAATGAACTTGAGAAATCACGCCACCTTATCTCACTAAACAAATGGTACACGCGTCGAGCTCGTGTGTGTTTGTGTGTGTTTCGGTGGAAACTAGTGGGGCTGGGGCTCTACGTCTGCCGGTTGGCGTGCAAATTTCGCCTCTCTCTTTCGCTCCCACCTCCGATTACAATGGCAAAACATAAACATAGAACCCAGACGCGACCGTCTTGTCGAGCCAACGGCCTTTTGATGATAGATAGATAAGTTAGCTGAGTCGACCGATTTTTACCGGCAGTCCATTGTTACACATGGAAAAAATCTGTATAATTCGAATCAAGACAATTCAGAACTTGATATTGAAAAACTTGTTAATAAACTAAGAAAAATAATAATTTAAATAATTTATTACATTAGAGATTTTTGAAATATTTTGAATGTCTATTTGACGCAGTATCGGGAACTTCGCAATTAGTGATAAATTCCTAAACAAAATTATTTTATCATTTTTCTACCTTATCAGATGATAAAAAGGTTATGATAGATATAGATATACCCAAGTAAATAGTTTTCCTCAGTGTATTGTTTATTGCTGTTTTGTTGCTGACCGCTTCTAGCAATTTTTTTTTTTTACTTTTTCTACCTTATCAGATTATATCAAAGCTAATGATAGGTATAGAACCCAAGTAACCAGTTTTTCTCAGTGTATTGTTTATTTCTGTTTTGTTGCTGACCGCGCTTAGCTTCTTCTTCTAACGACGCTTTCGGCTTCCCCAATTTCCAGCTTTAACCGACTTAGTTCGTCAACTCTACTCATTTCATTTCCCTTCTTTTGTTGAATCATTCCACTTCGCACAGCACATCGTACGAGTTTCTCGGCGAATAAGAAAGCAGCTTGCTTTTTTACTCAGTTTGAGTGTGTGGCCTATGTTAACGCAATTGGTGTTGCACTGTTAACATTGCTGCCACAAGTTGCTGTTAACGGTTAGTGGTTGTTAAACTGTTGAAAGCAGAAAGCCGCCCATAACAAATCATGCCGTGCGCCGGTATATGCGCGGTCAAAGCTCCGCCGGCATCACCTGATTTGCAATTTCTACACCAACTTTCCACCAGCTGAACATCTAAACAAAAAAAAGATAAATCGCCCGGCATCTCGTTCCAGAGAGCGAAAGCTCTGCAGAGGAGGGTGGCAGAGAGCTTTATGTTGGCTTAACAGCGGGGGCTGGCACACAAGATCTAGAAGTTTAGATGACAAATTTATAAATAGCATAATAGTTTTTTCGTCTTCAATATCTTTTTATACCCTTGCAGAGGGTATTATAATTTTGGTCAAAAGTGTGCAACGCAGTGAAGGAGACATCTCCGACCCTATAAAGTATATATATTCTTGATCAGGATCACCTCCTGAGTTGATATAGCCATGTCCGTCTGTCCGTCTGTCTGTCCGTCTGTCTGTCCGTCTGTCTGTCCGTCTGTCTGTTTCTACGCGAACTAGTCTCTCAGTTTTAAAGATATCGAATTGAAACTTTGCACACACCCTTCTTTCCTTTGCACGCAGTATATAAGTCGGAAC